AGCAACTATTTGCAGGCGTCTCCGCGAATTTTTTGCCGATTTTACTGTCATCCTTCAACGACCTTTTAAATCATGTTATGTGATTGGAGCTTGCCAGAGTGACACTCTTGGTGCTGCCACCACCCAGCCATCACTGTCATGTGTTCATTACGAATCGCTGAATATGTATGGCTTAATGTTCGCTTGTATGATAAGGAATATTTTCTGGCAGGAGTAATATTTTCTCCGCACATTTGTCTTTATCTGAGGGACCCTATCATTGATTTGAGCCATGATGTAGTTCCATCACATCGAAAGGATTGCATTGCTATCTGTAGCAATTTGCTGCAAACATTAGTGCAATGCTGCAAATAGCAGTGCAAGACTTCCAAAAGAACGCTGGAAGATATTCTCCCATACTGACAGAACACATTTAGTGTTTTTCGTGCCCAAAGCTGCAGGTCTGATTAGGAGGTGATTAGATTATCATGTGAGATTATTCGTCCTAGAGACCATCGGATGACCCAAGCGATCAGACCGACGTTTGCCTGGCTTCTCAGCCAATTAATTAAGAAACGCTGAGCCTGACCTGCGACAGAGACGCGCCGTCTTCTGAGCGTAGCGGCACCTGTTTCCAGACAGAACACCACCAACCGGGTAGCTGAACACGGCCCTGCGGTACAGCCGTGCTCGGCCAGGAGACCAGCGCGTCACGAGCTTCGCGCCGATTACCAGCAATGCTTAGATTAGGAGGTAATTTGATTATCATGTGATATTATTCGTCCCAGAGACCGTCGGGTGACCCCAGCGACCAGACCGACGCGGGCTGGGCGGTTGGCTCACCGACTGACCGCCAACATGGTCAGCCGGAGCCAACCGCCGGAAGCTATCGCAGCCCGATCACCTCTCTCCTTCCCGTGTTCTGCTTCGCACCCCGACCCTATATTCTCCGAAGTATATCAATCCGCACCCACGAGATGAAGCCAATCAATAGCCGACCAAAACAGCTCAGCACATCTGGCTGCCCATTCGACCATATCCTCGCCGTTCACCGCCGCTCAGATTGACCACGGCCGGTCAAACCGACGGGATGGCGGCGACTACAGACCAGGCGCTGCTGACCCAGCATGGCCTGCTAGCCCAGCTGCGCGCCGTCGTGTCGGCAGCACGAGCGTCGCGCCGCCGCTGCTGCTGTCGCTGCTGCCGTCATCGCTGCCAGTGCACACATCATGCTATCGAGTGCACACAGTTGCACTCTTCTCGCGCAATGCTGATCTTCTTTTCCTGAGTCGCCGAAATCTGGCTTTCACGCTGTGGGAAGAACAGTTGAAGTTAACAAAGCGCCGTGGAGGGGGCTTTGAAGCAAAAAAGACCGTGTCGGCCGATGAACGATTTAAACCACCAGCTGTGTGTGCTCCAAAAATGACATCTTATGGACAGGCGTACATCCACCAAGGACAGCTAAAATCATTTTAAATCGGCCGCCGTAACTCTGTGAGTTGCTGGCGAGGATGGCACGACGGCACTAAGTTAGACGCTTACGGAAGATATGACCAAATGTGATGGAAACGAGAATCCGACAGAGTGTGTGGTACGGGCAGCTGATAGGCATACCAGTGTTATCCAATGCACGTAGTCTTACTCTCCACCCCCGAAAGTAAGTATTTTTACCGTATCGCCATATTCTGGCTATCACTTTTCGTGCTGACGCCTGCAGTAAGCATTATAGCGTCGAGGGGTGATTCGAACAAAAAAGGTATTGCCGACCGGCAGTGACGAAAAAATTAACGATTTACTTTGCCGACCGACAGTGCTCCGACATAAACATCGGTTGCACCGAACTTCACCCGCTGATGCAACTAAAAGCATTATAAATCCGGCGCCGTTTGTTTAACAATCATGGGCGCGGACGGCACACAAGCGTTGAATGAGACGCGCTCTGGTGGTCGACGGCAAAATAGAATGCGGAATCCGACAAGTGCGTTCTACAGGGAGTTCGTAGCCTTATACTAGTGTCATGAGATGATCACAGTTGCCCTCTTCCCGCACGATTGTAAGCATTCTCAACAAGCCACCGTATTCTTGACATCACTGTATTTGCAGTTGGGCAGCAGCTTCTGAATGAGCTGCCAATGGATGAGTTGTTTAAAAAGGGTCGTGTCGGCCTATGAACGGTTTTCATTGCTCACCGACATGGCCCCGAGAGTGACATCGTATGCGCGTAGTCGCGCCCTCCGCGCCGGGCTAAAAGCATCTTAAATTAGGCGCCGTAAATTTGCAAACCACCGGTGCCGCCGGTCTTCCAGCATCGGGTAAGACAGTGTGAAATGGTCGACCGAATAAAATGGAAACCGAATCAGACAAATGCGTTGCAATAGCTGCTGATAGCCCTACACCAGCGTGAACGACCGCAGACAATTGCATTTTGAGTGCAACCTAAGCATTTTTCCCAGGCGGCCTTAATCTGGCCAAAAAATGCGTGCAGGCAGGCTGCACTTAGCCAAACGCCGCCATAGCAAACGCAATGAGCAAACGCCGTGCTCCGGCAATGACATTGTGTGCACGTCATTGCACCTGCCGCGCACGAATAAGGTATTTTAGATTGGACGTTGTAACTTTGCAAGTCGCCATGGCTCCATAACCACCAGGATTACATCAGACAATGTCGGCGATTCGACCGAAAAACATAGCTGAGCCAGTCGTACAAGTGGGCTGTGCTGGCAACCAACAACCCTATGTTATTACTATTCACTGTGCGCATTGGATAGCGTTGTATTCCGGTGAAATACTCAGGGCAAGTTCCCAACTTTGTATTTCAATTGCCAAGGGACATGTTGTTGCGAAGTTCTAAGATGACAACGTTCGAAGCAAGCATTACATTTCACTGCTATTTTTCGTCTCGATTTGCCAGTCTGGTCATCAGCCATCTTGAATAGAAAACAAAGCCGTGAAACCGTTAGACCAAAAGTAAAAGAATCCGGACAGGCCGTCAAAAGGTACTAATGCAGAGTCGAGGGGTGCCCTGAAAATGATCATGTCAGCCGATGAACGATAGAACTTGCCGTCCCAGAGCACTGCCACAGTGGCATCGTGTGCATATCGTGTCGCCACAATGGCATCGTGTACACATCGTGCTGTCACAATGGCATCGTGTGCATATCGTGCTGCCACAATGGCATCGTGTACACATCGTGCTGTCACAGTGGCATCGTGTACACATCGTGCTGTCACAATGGCATCGTGTGCACATCGTACTGCCACAATGATATCTTGCGCACATCGTGCTGTCACAATGGCATCGTGTGCACATCGTGCTGCCACAATGATATCTTGCGCACATCGTGCTGTCACAATGGCATCGTGTGCACATCGTGCTGTCACAATGATATCTTGTGCACATCGTGCTGTCACAAAGGCATCGTGTACACATCGTGCTGCCACAATGATATCTTGTGCACATCGTGCTCGGCATCGTGTGCACCTGCATAGCACAACTAAAATTATCTCGAATTGTGCGCGTACCTTTTCAAAGCATCTCACGGACTGCATCCCAGCATTAAATGAGACGCTGTTGAGGATTCTACTGGATAAAATACAAAATCTGACGATTGTTTTGCACTGGCAGCAGTTGGCAGGCGTGTGCGCGTGCGTTTGCAGGTGCGTTTGTTTGTGTTGCACACGATGAAAAAACTTTTCATACATGTTCGATGATTCGACAAAACCGCTAGTTCTCGTGAAATAAGTTTAGCACACATTCAATGAATAAACATGTCCAGCAGAAAGAGTCATGCAAATGTTATATATATATATATATATATATATATATATATATATATATATATAACACAACGTATAGGACGTAGTACAGTGGAGTGAGCAGATTATGTGTCTATCGTATGTTCTCGGGGTCCCACGGCACAGAATGCCCTCTCTGAAGGAAGCATTGCCCCGGGGAAATTCCGGGATCCGCGCCCGAATGCCATAACGGTTGAAGGGCACGCTATCGCACCAAAACGGAATTCTGACATTAACTCCGTTATGGCATCTCCAGATACGCCACGAAACAGCGCCGGCATGCCCTGAGATGGTTACTCTCAGCCGCGAAGCCGACTTTGCTCCCACTACCTGTTTAAGACAGTGGTAATAGTTTTCACGGACGTGACTTCACTTCTGCTATTCGTCTCGATAGAGGCACGTTGTCGAAATATCAACGCATCTATATCTCCACTTTCCTGTTTTTTTTTTTGTCCGACGAATAAGGCCATTACTCCTGTCCTATCTTTCTGCATTATGCTCCTTGCAAAGTAACTTAACAACTTCAGGACTTTTTTATTTCGATTGCATTTAACACCGGGGACGGTCTTCAAGGAAACGTCGTGAACCGTTTGCCTCAATTTGATATACGACCACATCCTCGGTACGTTCCCACTCACATGGACAGAGAGCACATGCACCCAGCCAATGTCTGCTGCTGTCTTGTGGCGGTGCCTTCGCACTGATATCTGATCATAGACTGTCGATAGCACGCGTTTCTTGCCGTTCGTCTGTTTCCGAGCCGCTTGTCCCACACTGTTGTTCCACGTTTGCAACTTCCCACAGTGCTGTAAAGCTCCCCCACCTGCACCGATTTGATGAGTTCATGCCCTAGGAGCTGGCAGGAGCGTTGCCCTACTGGCCGCTGGTAGCGAAGCTGTCAGCGGATGAGGCAGCCTGTCGTCCAGTCTGGGTACTCCGTACTCCGTTGCTTTGTAGTGGACTGGGATGTGCCTGCACACCGAAGCTTATTGAGTCCATGGATGCGTTGTGGTACTGTTTTGAGTGATCGGATGATTGTGATTACAGCAAGAGCCCAATGAAAACAAAAACTTACTGGGGCTTTGTGCTCGCTGTGCCAGAAGTGCTCATGCCCATGGGGTGGACGTAGGTTTCTAAAAAGACAGAACGTAATGGTAAGATATTAGGCCTCCCTGAAAAAAGCTTCGTGAATAGTTGAGCTAAAACCCCCTTCACCACTGTCTACCGAATGCTCGAAATGTATTTGGATGAGTTTTGTCACCAGGTACATGAGATAAGAAACAAGACGAAACAGTATTGCCTTTGCTTTCAGTCCTCCTCTGAATTCAGGTTAACATGGCACGTGTTTTTTTACATTTCAAACGCAGCAGTCGTGGCAGTCACTCGAAAAAGTATTGCACGGAACGCCATAAAAGAGAACACATCGCAGCATACCGGCTCAAGTCCAATTTCATTCCGTAGGTCTCCATATGGGCAGTTAGTCCAACACAGTTGACGTCATCTCGTTTTTAGGCGCCCCGCGGCGCGCGGCTCGCTCATGCATGGCCCGTCTCGTCCCCCGCCGCGCCGTCTGGCGTCGCTGGCTCATCGCCGTCGCCCGGTTGCGGGTGTGGCTCCGGCTCCGGCTCCGGCTGCGCCCCTTGCTCCAGCTCCGGCTCCGGCTCCGGCTCCGGCTCCGGTTGCGGCTGCGCCTCCTGTTCCGGCTCTGGCTCCGGTTCCGGGTGCGCATCCGGCTCCGGCTGCTGCTCATCTCTCAGTTGTGACAGCGCCTCTGGCTTCGGCTGCGAGTCGGGCGCGGCGGGCGACCCGGCCCGGCCCGACTCGGGGCCGCAGTCCGAGACGTCCGACTCGCCGTCGTCCTGTGAGTCCGACTCGTCGTCGGATGTCTCGCGCGACTCGGTGACGTCCGGCTCGTCCTCGTGCACGGTGTAGGCGACGAGCATGCGGCGTCGCTCGTGGCCGCGGCACGTGATGATCATGCGGAAGCGACGCGACAGCATGCCCTGGCAGATGAAGAAGACCATGCCGCAGGCCGCGTTCATGAACTGCCGGTGGATAACGGGGTCAGCGCAAGATCAGGTCGATAGCAGGCGTGATGGGGAGAAAGCGTTTCGCTTCACATCCGAGTGCGTCCTTGGACGCACGCCTGATTACTGTTTGCACACTTGGAGAGGTACATTGGAGGTGAGGATGAGGGGGACAGAGGGGGGGGGGGGGGCGGGTCTCAATTGAGTAGACTTGGACGAGGCGGTACATTATTGAGCAGTGCATCAGGCTAACGAGGGCGTCAGATTATTCTAAAGGTGATGTGGAGCTTGCACGTAGACTACTACATGGGGCAAATCACTACCCTAGCCATCGCTCTTCTTACGACACCCATGCAAAGTGGGTGGCTTGTTGTTACCGCACGAAAAACCGAAAAAAGGCTTGCTGTTACCACGCGAATTCAGTATCTGGAACTTCTGAACTAGTAGCATTCAAAGCCGTTGCGTCATGTTATATCAATGAAAATGTATGCTTACTTATTTACTTTGGCAATCAAAACACCTGCGAAACATTGGAAGGTGGGTAGCCTGAGCGTAAAGTGTGAGGACTTAAGGTAAGCTGAGGTCGCTTACCTTAAGTCCATTACAGCACAGTGCCAAATAGTTGATGGGCTCAGCTGCCCGGTATTGATCACATTCGATTCATGACTTATAATATATTTCTTTCAACATTGTTGTCACCAAGGTCAGTCTTCATCCTTATCTGCTTTATCTTATCCAAGTAGGAACCTCAAAAAACGTGGCCCTTGCACACCCGAGTGAGGGAGCGCAGCAGCGGGTGTTGACTGCACACTCGCCTGGAACAGGGGGTAGAAGCTGGGCAGGCCTTCAGCATCCAGCCTGACGTAGGCCAGCAGACCGGCCACCCAAGTCGCCATGAAGTAGAAGGAGAAGAAGTTGTAGCCGATGCACACCGACTCCTGGTCGACGATGATGTTCTCCTTGCGCAGCTGCGGCGTACCCATGTTGCACATGATGAGCACCACCGACAGCGCGATGAACACCAAGCACAGCATCATGGGCGAGAAGAAGATGAGCTTGACGTCCGTCTCCCAGCCCATCATGCACTGCGGGTCGTCGCCGTAGCGGTGGGACTCGGTGGCCAGCGCGTAGCCCAGTGAGATCAGCGACACACCTGCCGGGGCGAGGTCAGAGGTCAGGGCGCGCCTCACCAGTCGGCCGCGTCTGACGGCCGTGCCGCAATGTCGGAGGTTGGCCATGGGATTTTACCCCGAATTTAGCCCTGTTGGTGGTGATACAGAGTCTTGTTTGTGCGTGACCGTATACGGAGTCTTGTCATGTTGAGTCTTGTTTCTAAAAGATTATGATTAGCTCCTGTGATTGCATTGACTGTTGGCAGACACTGTGCATTTGTTAGATAATGCACTCACAAATACTACCTAACCATAACAATGTATTCAAAGCGGTCAGCACCTCCACAAACCAACACACGCAAGTTTGACCCAATTTTTGCCACTCCCATACAAGCCTGCCGTTGGCAAACCTAACAGACCTCGGCCGACCATCAGGAGCGGCGTCCGAGCGTCACTGACCGAAGGATATGCAGAGGTAGGAGCGCAGCTTGCCGCCCACCACGCCGACCGTCAGCGCGCGGAAGCAGGCGTAGCCCTCGCACGCGACCATCACCCCGACGGCCAGGTAGCACAACTGCAGGAAGGCGGCGATGGTGGTGCAGTGGTGGCGGTCGGCGCGCACGGAGTCCAGGTCCGACATGCACATGAAGAAGGCACCAGCCAGCAGGAGCAGCGCCGTCGTCATCCGCATCTGGTGGAACATCTCCCACAGCTGGCTGTGGGCGGCGCGGCGCGCCGGTCAGGCGGGGAGGCAGGGCCGCGCGGGACGCGAGGCGACGCACGCGTGCGTGTGCGTGTGGGAGTGTGGGGTGTTCCGGTGGCGCGGTGCCTGCAGGACGACGTGAGCTGCAGCTGGGAGCGACTCAACGCGAGACGAAATTGCAGGTGATATCGATTTGGGAAGGCGGCAGGTTGAATCAAAAGTGATTCTTCCGCTCGTTGAAGCCTCACCTACAATTGGCTGTAATACACACTCTGTAAGCCGGTATGTTGTGGCCGCTGTCACTTTGACACTAAGCGTTTCTATCGCCATACACGACACATAAAACGTTTACATCTAGACATAGCTTACGTCACCCAAGCTTATGGAAATATAATACATCGATAGGAGCATTCTTATCCATCACTTGCATTACCAGACACCACATGGCATTGATCGCCTATTGCGACAAAGCCGAAGCTTTGTAATTATGCCAGCCTGCCATAACTTACTCGGATTTGAACACCAGGACTGCATACGCCAGGAGCAGGGCTATCGATATCGTGTGGAAGACAGTCTTGATGAGGATCAGCCATGTGTTGTCGATGTCGACAATTTTCGGTTCAACCTGACGGCCCACGATGTTGTCAACAGAAAAGCCACATCGCGCTGAAACCTGCATGTCACGACATGGAAGCCCCTGACCGATCAATGTGCATGGAGACCACCTGCTAATCGTTAGCCAACGTAACGACCGTGGGTAATGGTGATGGTATAAAAGAGGAAAGTTGTACAGTGAATTTGCAAGGAAATTATTCGCATAGATAAGACGGTAGTAGTAGCCCTTTTCCTCGGAGAAAAAACAGAAGATCTATCAGGAGAGCGTATCTATATCCCCATTTTCCTGTTTTTTTTTCTCTCCAGGAATAAGGCTGTTACTTCTGTCTTGTCGATATGAAACAGAACATTCTAATTTACGTTGATAAAGAAGATACACGTTTGAATGACACGTTTTAGAAACAACGTATCACGCCAAATCTTACACTGCTAAACAAACCAACGAGCGCAATTCAAAAGACACGAAAGAAGTCTGAATGGCTCGTCATGCCCTGGGGGAGGGGAAGGGAAATGGTGAGGGACGCACCTTCTCGGCGACCACGGCGTACTGGCCGAGCGCTTTGCACGCGCACTTGGTGAAGAAGTCATCACTCTCGAGGACGACACATCCGGTGGGGTCCCAGGCGCCAAGCCCCCGCATGCTGCCCTCGTTCCACCAGACGCAGTGACGTCGGAGCACCTGTCGGCGAAAGAGTGGGCACCATCGAGACGGGAACGGAACACGACAATCGGATGGGCACCATCGAGATGGAAGCAGAGCATGACAAACGGGTGGGCACCATCGAGACGGGAGCGAAACACGACAAACGGGTGGGCACCATCGAGACGGGAGCAAAACACGACAAACGGGTGGCCACCATCGAGACGGGAGCGAAACATTACAAACGGGTGGGCACCATCGAGATGAAAGCAGAACACGACAAACGGGTGGGCACGATCGAGACGGGAGCGAAACACGACAAACGAGTGGGCACCATCGAGACGGGAGCAAAGCACGACAAACGGATGACCACCATGGAGACGGGAGCGGAACACGACAAACGAGTGACCACCATCGAGGCGGGAGCGGAACACGACAAACGGGTGACCACCATCGAGGCGGGAGCGGAACACGACAAACGGGTGACCACCATCGAGACGAGAGCGGAACACGACAAACGGGTGGGCACCATCGAGACACGAGCAAAACATGATACACGTTCGGATAGATACAGTCACAAAGCAAAACAGCAGCGTTGAGGTAGTTATGCGGCATCTTCAAAAAGCCTGCATGGAACTTGTCGGCAAAAAAACGTACATCACTACGCCAGTCTATTGCCTCGCCATGCCAGAGCTAGCCCTCGATACCTGTGCCGGTTTCCCTGCCTTCCACAGTATAGGGAGGTTGGTACGGCCCTTTGCTCCGCAGCCGATGCGCGATAATGGAAGTAGGGAAAAAACTGCTTCTCGTTTTACCAGTTTTACTATTTTTCCAAGAATGATTCTGTATCATGTTTTGTGGTTAACCTGTCAGCTCAGGTCAAACAGGGTGACATTGCACTTTCGCCGTGTCTACGAGGCTTATCATATGCTCAAATGTACTTGAGGTTATAATGTCTCGGCTTCCTTCAATGGCTACTGTAGGGTCACCCGACGTTTTTCCTTGTTTTCCCATGACCTTGACCATGAATGACCTAGTGCTTAACATCCGTTCTGTCGCATAAAGATTGCGTGAGCCAGCTCGACATCCACTTAAATATTTATCCAGATATGACATTGACCTCCACCAGCCTGTGAAAAGCTTATGAGCATTGAAGATGCACGGGTAATAGGAGCCATACGCATTCAGGGCCATAACCAAGAACCTCTGGGGCACACAAATCGGAGAATGGCGTGTGGACCTCCGGTTTCCGTATTTCGCAGTGCGGGCTTTGAGAACGAGGTCACGGGTGAGCGATGTGGCATAATAACAATAGGAGTGTATGTCCAGGTGTGAGCAAGTTCCAAACACGACAAACCAAGGTTCGATCAACACCGCGAATCAGTATGGGAGACACCGCAAGATCACGGGGTTAGCTAACCCTCCCCCTATGACCGGGTGAGGGCTAAACCACAGAACACTCCGAACGAACCTAAGTTAAACGCATCACGCGCCGGCAATAGTCCGCCCCGAATACGCCAGAGCGGCGCGGCGGCGACGGCGGCGAGCACTCACGTCACTGACGATCTCGCCCTCGTGGAAGAGCGGCTGCCGCAGGGTCTGCTTCGGCTGCTTGTGGCCGAGCGTGGCGCGGACCGGCGAGCTACGGAAGTCATCGATCGTCGGCAGGCACTCGTCCACCTCCGCTTGACCCCGCAGCGTCTTCACGCGCAGCGACAGCACCGCGCTGTCGATGTCCAGGTACTGGGCCTGCCGCGTCTTGAACTGCCTGCAACGGGCGACGACAGGAGGCCCGTCACTGCCCTGGCGGCGATGCCGGCGCCCCGTGCGGTCAGCGGCGCGTCAGTCCACACCGACGGTGCGAGTTTAGAAGAGGATCTGGCGCCGAGCCTTGCCCACGCTGGGAGTTGGGTGCATACGTGCGGTGCTGGCGTGAGCACGACAGGACCTGCCGCTGCACAGTTGGCAGGCGCTCTGAAGGCGATCGCGACGGGGGCTTCCACTGCCGGCAGCCCACTGACTGAACTCACCGCCGCATGAAGCGCTTGGGTGACACGGCGCCGTAGCTGTCGTACTTGGTGAATACGGTGCTGATGGTGGCCTCGTCACAGCCTGGCTTTCGGAATACCACGGTCGGCACTGCCGGTGCACCGCGGCACGGGGTCAGACCACCATCGCACAGGTCACAGGGGTCACATAAGGGTTACGGTACGTCAAAGTGCTCAAGCTCGACATTGTGATGTGGGGAAATAATGTGATGGACTGTTGTTGTGGCCCAGTTTTGCTTAGAGTCCAACACATTGCCAAATGGAGTGATACATCCCGTTCAAGAGCGAAGACTGGATCCTGCTATCACGCATCGTTGGTAACACATCCCATTGATATAGTCCGATTCGTCGCTGCTCATTGTGGGCGATATTGGCGTTATAATCAGCAGTTACAGAACAAAGTTCCCAAGAGCACACTTATATGTGTATACGGCATAGCCTGCTCACCAAACCATGTATATATATATATATATATATATATATATATATATATATATATATATATATATATATATATGTTAAGAACCAAAATGCCGCAACAATATTGACCGATTTCCCGGCATTCCCTGGACGAATTCAGCCATAAAATGTGTATTCATCTTACTTCTCGTCCTCTGATACAACAGATCCAAGACCCACACCTGACCGCTCCCTACCAGCCCGCAAGCAGCAGCCCCCTTCCCCCGGACCCCGCAGACTCCCTCCCGACCCCATGACGTCAGCGACCCGACGCTGGCATGCTGCCACCACCCGCGGCCCACCTTCAATGCTGTCCAGCCGCCGGACCTGGTCACTGGGAAAGAGCGCCACCTGGCGACGCCGGAAGGCGTCCAAGCTGTTCTGCTGCACGTACAGGTCCACGTTGTCGGTTCGCTTGTGCACTAGCAGATCCGTGTCGCTGCTGTTGTCGGACACGACGTTTGCCACCGATTCCATGGCCCACTCCTCCAGCCGGTTGACCATGTCGACCGCCTCTGCCGGGGCGGGAGAGGGGGGGATAGCGTAATTAAACGTTAAAACGCCAACGTCGCCGGCTGAAGGGGCAGAGACTTGACCGCCGCCGCTGCCGGCTGGGAGAAGGGAACGTGGGCGCGAGCAGAAGCTGGGCTGCCACCGCCACCAGCTGGAGAGCGGGAGGCATTGGGACCGACGGGTGGTATTTGGGGGTGGGGCGATACCATGTGTCTCACCTCCCCCCCACACTCCGTTAAAGAGAGGCGCAATAATGCACAAAAGGACAGAATCACTACCGAAACAAGTCTGTTTGGTTAGCAAAGATAATCCTTTCTTCCAGAGCCGAAACACTGCGTGGCGCGAACATTAATTAGACAGCGAAGATAACAGGTGGGAGACGGAACAAGTCGGACAATGTGATGATGACAGCACGGTCTAACGCCCATTTGCAAACTAACGGTGATGCTCCATAGTACAGTCCAATAGCCGGAGGCACAAGAGGCGAAGGCGAAGTTTTGGGCGCGAAAACAAGGCGCCAAGACGAAGACCCTTGGCAACGGACGGGGTCACCACATTCACTCTTACCATGACCCGCACAGCTCTAAAAGAGCTGCTCCACAGTCGTATAGTATAAGATATGTGGGTGTGATGACTGAAAACAAAACATGCTCTTAGCTCCGATACCTATTTTCCACGACAGAATGATTATTTCACTTAACCAATTTAAAGAAGTTCGCGCCAACATATACCAAAAAAGGGGATAGCTTCGTGCTGCTCACCTCTGTCTCTCACGATCTTCTTTTTAGGGTTTTTGGGATCAGGTTTCTTCCTATCGTTCTTCATTTCTATCCCGTTCCATTTAGCGGCGTTCTCCTCTTCCAGAAGCTTCGATGCCAGACTGAGAAGATTCTGGCCAACGTAACGGGTATAAGAACATATGATTGTTATCCACACGAGTGGCTATTTTCAATTACACGGTGATGTTATCATTTCATCGTTTACCGTGTTGCGAAAACATTCAAAATGTTGTGCTGTGCCAATGTCCCGGACCTGATCGACATCCCTACATTGAACCGTCGTCGAGTGTGGGCCAGAGACAAATGTTAAGATTTTCAATTTTACGACTTTTGCACATCACTGGTTAATTGGACATCAGCGATGGCCACTTTAACCCACTAACAGACACGGCACACCAGGCTAGTTTGCACAATTGACGGTTGAATTCCTTTGACAACTTTTACATGCAACCGCGAAGAGAGAAGACAAGACAAGGAGAAGACTAAAAAAATTCCAAATGCGAGTACCTGTGGTGTGTGACCAAGCACTAGCGCTAGTAAACGTACGTATGCCAACACACACAGCTGACGCATCACTCACCAGGAATGAGTCCAACTCATCCTTCGTCTGGTTCGGCTTGATATTCTCGGACTCCGTCATTGTAAACACCATGCCGGCCAGCACCTGCATCTGCTGGATCTCGGACTTGCTGGCCGCCGGAGCCCCACCTGTTGGCACGCGAACAGTCAGTCTAGCGACATAACACGCCACGTGACGTCTATGAAGTAACAGACCGATCTCTGCTGCATCTGACCAATGGACGGACCATACGCTAAAAGCTCAGCCCGCAAAAGTTCTTCCTGGGGCTTCAATGGTGTACTGATCTTAACTGGCATGAGGTGAGAGCATTCCGGCCGATTAGCCACATGTCGAGAATAGCAGCAGCTTGGAGCGGGTCTCGTCCCTCACATCCCAATGGAAGAGTGGATGCGGTCTTCCGAGCCAGCAGCGATGAACACAATCACCCACAGATGGGGTCATGCTCGGACCATCGTCCCCGTCTGGTGTGGTTTTATGCACACAACGCCTTTCCGCCGGCTAGCTCTCCGGCCGTCATCAGATGTTATCGAGTACTGAGAAGGAATAGATGATGCCTGTCTTTCAGCCGCGTCCGCATCTCAGCGTGCATTTTCTCCTTTGAATCGCTGGGACTCAAACCAGCGTGTTCTTATTGCGCGTCCAGTACTTTACCAGCCAAGATAACCGGAAAGGGCAATTATGTTGATGGAGCACTCGCAATCAGAGGACCCTGGTTCGAATCCTACCAGTTCCAGGAAGAGTGTTCGGGCTGTAACGAGTGCATGGCTTAAAGCCAACCAGCATGCAGACCTCAGTGCTCCATGACGCCTGACGACGGGAAGCTAGCCGAACGTTGTGTTAATACTGACGCACCAATTGAGAACAATGACCCATCTGCGATACTGAAACCTCGTCTCCATCCTTTAGAAAGGTCACCATCAATGCTATATCCTACACACGTACCCACGAATCCTTACGATTTAATTTTAAGAAAAGTGTATTCTAAACATTACAGTTGTGCTTATCTTTGCTTAGGTTTGCACAAACCTGAAGCTGACTGCGCAGGCGAGGTCGTTCCCTCCGGCTCCTCCTCTTCCTCTTCTTCCTCAGTCTCCTGCTCGCTTTCGGCGGTCGACGGGCTCCCAAGCCCAAGCTCGTCCTTCGTCTCCTCTTCCGGCGCGTCCGCCATCTTTTTAACGAGCGTCACGGCCACCGACTGCTGGTCGGGGTCAGTGAGGTCGACGTCGACCAGCATGTCGGCAAACTCGGCGGCCGACACCTTCGAAAAGTTGGCCTCTGAAATCGTGACCACTTCTGTGATGCATGGCTGCGGTGGAGATGGAAGAGAGGTCAGTGTTTGGCCAGATTCATGGGGTTGGTGGTGCGTGAGACATAAGCCAGGTGGATGGGCTTACAATACTTTTTTAGATACCAGACAATAACGCCGTCACATTTGGAGTGGATGCTGATGCATTCAATGCGCGTTCTGCAGGAAATGATTCCAGGTCATGTCAGTAAACTGGATTATGACGTCATCTGTGAAGGGAGGTCGAGCCTCTCTTTTGTGGCAAATGTTGTGTTCGTGCTTCTTGATGGCAGTCGATGGTTTCTAATAATCTTCAACGAAACGATCGTTTGATGGTGGTTTCCAAGCACTTGGGCCACTTCCGATTGGTCAAATATCTGTTTTAAGCTAAGACGAGATAAATGACCTGCAGTTACCTTATTTAACTTCGGGTTATATCTGGATATTTCGCTTGCTCTGAATTATATTCTGCCTATATGATCAGAAAAGCTTTACGCGCCGGAATGTCACGCCTTTGCACTAGTTCCGAAACGCTTAGGTCAATAAGACTTGGGCGGGAACTGGCTGGCCTAAAGCAAGCAAACCGTACATCGTTGCTTTTCTGGATGGATCTTTGTTTTGGAAGTCTGGCTCAGCTAGGAAACAAATGGGGGGGGGGGGGGCTTTTGAAGACCCTTGCCTGGCCCTCGAGGTAACATAGCTAGCACTCGCCGAGCGCTACCTAAGCGAGCTCCATGCTTTTACGTCTTAAGATCGTACAATCCGGAGGCACATACGATTCGGGAGGTACAGCCACGGGTGTAGGCTAGGACATACAGCATGAGATGTGCACAGTCTACATGTCATGCGTAACAGTCTATATAAACGCATACATCTTCGACAGCATAGTCCGGAATGGAGTGCAATTAACACACAACATTGTCCTATGCCTCATGAACACGCTCGCTGAGCTCTCCAGCTGTGCAAGGCTCACCGAAGCCACCCAGGAAGAACATGGACTCATTGGCGAGAAGCGCCCTCTTCCACATGGCGATCTCGTCAAACTCGCAGGGACAGAAGTGCCGGTAGTCGGCGTCACCCGAGGCCTTGTGACAGCCCACCTGTCAGGGAGACGAGACCAGTCAGACACGGCCAGACGCAATGCTCTTTTTAAAGGTGGATTTTTTCCGTCACTTCGGTGGACGCCAGCGGCCGAAATAGCTCAGTTGGGAGAGCGTTAGACTGAAGATCTAAATGTCCCTGGTTCGATCCCGGGTTTCGGCAGGCGCGTGGTTTTACTCCACCACATGTGCCTTTCAACAACAATTCAAAAGCGAGTCAAGTCGCCCATGATCTCTCCTTCGGAACTCCTAATCTCCCCTCAGTCTGACCCATTCCTGCGGCGCCTGACACGGCAAATTCGTGAAGATACTCGTTTCCCAGAAAACCCAGCCGTTTGCATTTCTGAGCCGAACTTGGGGGAATCGACCTGAAGTCAACTAGTTTTGATCAACAAGCGAGCGCAACGTGGGTGTGTAAGGAGACGTGTGTCTTCATAAAGGTGTGACACCACACGACTGAGAGAACATGCCAACCTTTGGGGATGGGAGATCGGGGTGTCTTACTCGACTATTTCTGCTGTATGTAACGACGGCTGCGGTGACGGAAGGAACAGACACTGATTTCAATGCACGTTGCATATAGACAGTACAAAGCGGTGAAACACCCACTCGCACCAAACACCCACTCGCAGTTACCACGAAGGATACATTGCACCCGGTCCGGGAGGGCCGTCGGTAAGTGCCTGCCTCACCAACGCGGCTTCTGAGCAGTCGGCCCATCCCTCAGCCCCCTCCCCCCCCCCGCCGCCGCCGCGGCCTCAGGCTCACTCACCATGAGCTCGGGCGGGTCGAGCGGCCGTTTGGCGATGGCTGACGGCGTAACGCCGTGTATGGTCCGGCCAGCAACCTTCTGGTTCAGGTAGAGCTCCAGGCCGACCAAATCCTCCCCGCCGTCGCTGGAGGGCGGCCTCCATCGGATTCCTGCCGAGTGAGGAGGTGTTGCCGTCGGCATTGGCGTCAGCATAGGTAGCACTGGTATCATTATCATCAACCCTATTAACATGATACCAATTGAAGCGATAGTAGTACTTAATACTTTTATAGTACTTAGTGCTTAACTTATTAGTACGATATGGTTAGTACGATAGTACTTAACCACCAGCATAAGGAGTGGCTTCGATATTGGCGTTGACTTTCGTGATAACCGCGCGCAGCTTACGTACGTTTGATGTCGTGCGACACACAAGTTGTTTAGTTCAGTGCTGTTCAGTTCAAGGACGTCCATTCTCCTGGTTTTTCCGAGAAATAAGGCTAGTGCTACTGTCCTATTCATGCGACACATATTTAATTGTTTTTGTCCTGCGGTGCACACACTTCGCAGGATTTTGGGAGTTCGAATTCTAAGGATGTCCCGTGTGCTTAAATTACTTGGGTAGTCTTTCACACAATGATCTCATAACTACATTTATCCTGTCCTTGGAGCCCAGAATGCGCACAAGTTTTACATCGTGCCCTTGCGTGTAGGCGGTATGACAACCATTCCCGACTAACAAATGTAAAACTCACTTTAAAAGGGACCTCATGCGTAGGCACTTACCAATATTATTCCACGTGTTGTTTGGCAGCAGGCCGACTGTCTCTACGAGCCAGTATTTGCTCCCAGTCGACACAAGCGCCCCCAAGTACATGCCCTGAAGGTAAACTGCTATACCAGGAGAGCCCTTGATGTCGCCGCCTGAAGAGCACAGCATGTGGACATGGGTTATTACGATAGGGTTCCGCCGATAGGGAACCCAAAGCTAGTTGTTGAGCTAGATGTAACTTAATGTCTAGCTTTGTTGATCATAAATACAGGCTGTTAAATATTTGAAAACGCTATTCAACGATCAGCAACCATCCATTAACATCGCGCGAGCTGCAGCTAGTAGTTTTGTGACAACATATTTGCGTAAGAAAAGTCATTTTCACACGGACAAAACGATGAATGAAATGGCATCAAATCAGTTCTACCACAAATTTCTCAAAAGGACTTTAAATCATCCTAACATTTCATGGAAAGCACTTCTTACAGATAAGGTAGAAACGACAATTTACGCAACGGGATACCGATGGATTTCTTCGGCGCTGTTGACAGGTTCGTTCATCGAGACATTAGCGTCAATGGAATCTCTTCTCCGGACAAAGCCATACTATAACTTGAGGGATGTCGATTCATGCATCAAAACACGATAATCGCCACGCTTCGAGCTTCTTCAGTGGCCACTAACATCATCTCATATCCGTGTGCCGCGTGAATTACGTTTGGTCCCGTAGGCCAAGCCAACCAATGGACTATTTTCGATTTCAAGCTTTATGAAACAACAACAATGGAAATCGAAAGAGCGACTGTCTGCCCCCAAACTGAGGAACATCTGATACATTCTCACGCTTGTTCTAAGGATTTGCATCTTTGCGTCTTGAGGCAACTAGGCACAATTCTATTACCTCGCGTCGTGCTGTGTACCAGGGTTTCAGAGCATCTATGTTAAAGCAAAGCTTTGCTGAAAATGTAGCGTAAGCACCAGGCGGCGAAGAAAAGGAACAAACCATATGAATTAAGGTTTGCCTCAGGCTCTGCGCACATAGCCAAAATACATTTCGCAGCACCAGCGACGTAAAAAAAAATTGGGCAAGCCAATGTACACGCTATCGTTGGGTTGCGACGCATCATTTGGCCATGGATATACAGTAGTGACATCTAGTGATAAAACAAGGCAGCTTTGGGAGCTGTGATAACGGAAGTGTCAGAATGAAATTCGACGAATGTTGTCGGGCTCTGTGAGTGAAAGGCCCTGTTTTTGTTAGACTCAACTTTCCAGATGTTTCCTAAATCAAAAAGAGCCACGCAATCTTCCGAGAAAAACGCATTTTTAATGACATGTAATGGGCAAACGGCTATTGCCATAATGTGACTGGCGACATACGCCGCGCGATTTAAACAGGATTCTTGCCCTGGGATTGCGTCACTTCTGATGGCGGGCTGAGTGGACAAGCAGCACGCTTTGTAAATATGTTCCATGCCCGCCGCTCGTTACCTGTGCTGAGAAGGTAACGGAGCTGCAGACTATCCCGGTCGGCGAACACATCTTCCACGTAGATGGTCTTCTCCCACAGACTGAAGGACAGGCCTTCCTCACAGGTGGCCGGGTCGGAGACGCACGTGTCTCCCGGCCTGGCAAACCCCTTGTGCGCCATACACTGCAGACGGAAAGGCGAGCATCGACCAACAGCTTGAAAAGCGTCGTGGCAAATGAAGAGTGCACTGCATTGAACGTAAATGCAACATTGATACACAATATGCAGATGAAAGTACTAGGCTATGACATGACCGTCATGTAGAGAACTGCCTTAAACTGTTTAGCCTTAAACCAAACCACACAAAAACCACTCTCATTTGAACGTGATATACAGCTCATTACGCCCCCCACGACAACCTGGCCGCAAAGATGGTCACAACATCTGCTGCCAGCTCTCGTCCGTGCAATGCCTGTACGGACCCGTCACCCCCCCCCCCCCCCCCCCTCCCCCCCCAAACTCTGCGCACGTACGGAGTCGCCCGGCAGGATGACAGAGGTGAGAAACCCGAACGGTCCGCCGCCAGTGCTGAAGGAGCCTCCGGCCGGCACCGCCGTCGTGTTCTGCTCGATCGTGCCCCAGAAGTAGTCGGTCGTGCCCGGGTACGTCACGTCTGAGGCAGCACCGGCTCGGCGATTCAGGGCATAGTCATGTGCAGCGCCACCTAGTTCAGGGGCACCGCTTGGCCTTGCCGCTATGCGTCGCGGTCAAATGATAGGCGATCATATTATTGGCGATCATATCATCGTCGATCATATTATTTTCCATCATTTTGTTGTCATTATTGACGGTGGCTGACCGATGAAGGCCACAGAACGATGAATAATTGATGCAGCTCGTTTGTCATTAGCGTCCGCTCCCTGGCCAGCGGCTGACCATTTCCACCGGGGCCACAACAGCATCTTTAACGTCATTTATGCGCAAGGAGTTATACAGATTCGAGAGCCTCCGGACGGCACCGGCGGCAAGGATATGCACACCAGCTGATTAACGTACCAACAGACGGCGGAGGAGGAAGCCTGATAACAGTTGAAATCTCCACCGGAACGGAGCCTGCAACAGGGGCTACGCGCATGCGCACAGCGTTAGCTTCCGCGTTTGACTCTGGTCACGCGACAACATTCATGAGGTAAGAGATTTTTTTTTGGGGGGGGGGAGGATGGAGGTTCGAGAGACCACACGCCTCCTTCATTCAGCGCATCCCACACCCCAGTACAGCCAGACCCACATCTCACACCCAAGTACAGCCAGACTCATATATCACACTTAAGTACAGCCAGACCCACATCCCACACCGTCAGCAGCAGCCACTCAGGTCGAGTCTGAAAGCGTCACTGTCTTCGCGTCCACACCGTCTCGTCAGCGGGGAGCGGGGCGTGTTCAGGTCGGACCGAGGTGTCTGTGCGGGCGACGTGGGCCGCAGCCGGGCGATCGCAACCCTCGCTAACTGGCGGCCAGTGGTGCGGCGGCGTGGGCCAGCGTCACAGCCGGTGGTGCGGCGGCGCGGGCCAGCGTCACAGCCGGTGGTGTGGCAGGGCGGGCCAGCGTCACAGCCGGTGGTGCGGCAGCGCGGGCCAGCGTCACAGCCGGTGGTGCGGCGGCGCGGGCCAGCGTCACAGCCGGTGGTGTGGCAGGGCGGGCCAGCGTCACAGCCGGTGGTGTGGCGGCGCGGGCCAGCGTCACAGCCGGTGATACGGCGGCGCGGGCCAGCGTCACAGCCGGTGGTGCGGCGGCGCGGGCCAGCGTCACAGCCGGTGGTGCGGCGGCGCGGGCCAGCGTCACAGCCGGTGGTGCGGCGGTGCGGGCCAGCGTCACAGCCAGCGGCCCGACCGGTACGCGGTTGACACCAGAGGCTGACTTCCGAGGCCGCTGACAGGCGGAGAAGCTGCAGCTGACGGCAGGGAACGGTGTCGCTTTCTCGAGATCGCTTACTTAGCTTACTTAGCGCACTTGTTGATGCAAACAAGGTAAGGTTACCAAGTAGGTGCAATTGATGCCTGAATTGCTCACAACTGGATCCCAGGGCCTAAGGTACTATGCAGTTGATCGAATAGCATTCAGTGAAAGGGAATTTCGCAGTGTAACTTGAGTCACAGACAAAAACGTGACTAACGTGACATTAGGGTGAGCCATTCCGCAAGTGCACCTATCGGACAAACACAGAGCACAAATTCGGGGCGTTACAACCACAAAAAATTCTAACTCGTCTCAACGTGCCGGATATTTTGTAAAAATCGGCATCAAAATTTATGAGAAATGAGGAGCTTGTTCGCATACATCAACTGAACGACTACAATCCAGCATTTGAAGCACTGAACACCGCCCCGCATCCTTCCCAGCTCCCGCGTCACCGCCCCGTCCGCTCCGCACCTGTCCCATTTGAGGATGACACCACCAGCGCGTGTCAGCTCACCCAACCAGAAGTCCCTGTCGACGACGTGCGCAGAACAGACCACTGAGAAGCGTCTCGCGACCCGCGCCCGGGCAGCAGGGGCCTCCACCAGCATGTCCTCCACCCCTTCCGGAACGCCACGAGTCGCAGCGCTGCCCTGGACCCCCGAGCGACGGTGCTGTCCGACACCGCCGTTTCCATGACCTCTCCTGGCAACGCACACACACGAGCCCGCAGTCCTGCCTGGCCGACCAATGGCAGCCGGCTGATCACGCCAGGCCGGGCGCGACGGGCGACGCATCACTTATTGAGACGCGTGAGAACGCTGGACTCGCAGCGGCACTGCGTCGGTGGTGCGGTGCAGTATTCATGATCTCCCACAGCTCTGCTGTGGATACGCCCCCAGAGACGATAAAGGGCGGCAGGGCGGCGCTCAGTCCGGGGGCCCACGCGAGAATACTCGCGAACATGGCAGATACCACGGATCGGTCTCAGCTGAGGCCGCTGGATCAGTGGCATGTGAAGCCATCGTAGGTTGCGTCATACGGAATTAGATGTCCCATCTGTGGGAGTTAACCGCACATGATATTCGGTCAAACTTGGTCAACAGCGCAGCTCAATCAGACCAAGGAACAAAGCTACCAGACCGTAACTGGTTGTTAACACGCGCTCGGGTGGGGGTCAACTTGGCCCCCGGAGGTTTTTCCGGAATGGTTTCCGAACGGCGCGGCGTAGCCGCGCTAAATTTTGCACACTGTATACAATTGAACAGCGAATCGTCTGACATAAAAATAGATATAACCTGTAAGGTTGTTGACCTATGGCATGCCAAAGGCAGGCAACGATTTCAGCGAGTGATTTCCAGGGAATCGTTCAATCTGGTCCAACAACGGATTGTTAGACGAAACCATACGACTCTGAAATACTTTCTTAGGTAACACAACAATTGAATGAACATATTGCACTGACCTAGGATCAGGTATGAAGGTCAGACCGAGGTCAAAACCGGCCTGTTTTATTATTCTAGCGTTGGCATAAAGGGTAGCTTCTGGTGCTCAATCCGAATTTATTGATAACAGGAATCGCATTATACACCTCGCATAGGCTTCTTAAAGGTCAGAATAGATAAATGACCTAGAACACCCAGGTCGACATGTTGTTTTTAGGAAAATACTGCCCAGCGTAATTTTGTCGCTGATCCGAATGCAAAACTTAAAGCGGTCTTGTATGATTTAGGTGACCATGCCCTTCAAAGGATCAAACAAGGTCACTGACCTTAGATGAGCGTGTGACATTTTACTTAGAACAGTTTACTAGGTTCCAGGGACTCTTTGGAGGCCAACCTGAAATTTGACCTCCTTGACCTTACCTGACCCGAAAGTCATGACCCAGGAACCTCAAATCTTGACCTCGGTGAGTTTACGTTTAGGTCAACGTACCTATGAACTTGGTATCTCTAGCTCCCTTAGTTCCTAGAGGGGAGGGTCAACTTGACTCCCTCCCCGAACGAAGGGTATCCAGCCGGTCACCCGAGCGCGTGTTGAGCTACACTTCCAGGTTAAAAAAATAAATAACAGTAACTTACGGGATGCAACGGTGGTCTGTGCGATCAGTCCAGACTGGGGCTCATTACTCGGCTGTGCATCTAAACAGTTTGAAAAGGTGGCACCGAAACTACCGGCATTACCTTATCTCGTAAGAAGTCAGGTCTTATGCATCAGTAGGGACAGCCGATGGACTACATCCCTTGCCCGCAAGTATCCCACTTCAGTCCGAAATCGACGGCTTAAAACACAGCGAAATATGATATCCAAGCAAGCGAAACTGAAGTAAATGCGGCTATCACCGTACGTAGATCGACGACCGAGAAGCGATTACAGTCTCTGCCAAGAACTTTCAGCAAAGGAACGCCAGGCCATCCAGTTGGGGTTTATATAACGTCTACGTTCGCCGAATGCTGGATCCGATCGTTCACAAACAATACTAGACGCACAACGTGTCCGGTGTCCGGGGCAGAATGGACCAAGGCGACTACTCCCCCCTCCCCCCCCCCCCCCACTCCACCTTCAAAATTGCTTAATAACGGATAGACGGCAATATTGCATGGGCAGCGCCGACTTTGATTTGCGTTGGGTTCGCATTTTTGTTCCTGTTGTTGTGGTTCAGGTATGTATTGGTAGACAGATTAAACCAGATGCACGGACACTCAAAAGATGGCTCATAAACGCGGAGAGGCAAAAAACGGTGCGAAAAACAACTATGTTCCAACTATAACACGCACGACATATCCAAAACAGAACTGAAAACATACAGGTCTTATCACTTACTGCTCAACTCCGTGTTTAGGTCATGTATCTGATCGTGGATCATCTGGAGTGCACCAGACACATCGACACTAAGTCCCTACTGTACCAGCAGGGACTTAGTGTCGATGTGTCTGGTCCCTGCTGTTCCAACAGCTGACGCCGAGTTGGAAGCGGGCCACGCGCCGGATGGCGCTCCTGGCGGTGATCACAACAGGTACTCAACGCTGCTCGGCTTGGCTTTGCCTCAGCAAGTGATGCCTTCACGTGGTGAAGGCTCAGCACAGCTCGGCAGCAAGGATACCGCGCCCGTCAGGTGGCACGGAGGCGCACGTGGCATTCTCACGAAGTGAAAACAACGGCGACAGCTCAGGGACTAATGAGAAGACCACGGGCCTTTACCCGGGCAGCCACATGCTCTAGTCGATCCGAAGAGCGAGGTATTCCGCTTTGCTGGTTGAACACATGACCGTCAGGAGGGTCACATTATCTAGTGCCGGCCTCTCAGCCGAAGGAACGTCGCGGAGCGGCTGAAAGCAGTCGGACCAGGAAAGCAGACATGGACAAGAAATGTCCCCCGTGCCCGTCACGAACCAGAATTATCACGCCATCCCACTTTCTCGCACTGATATCATCGGTAACACAACCAGCGGCTGAAGCGTGGGCATATCTTCCGCCTACCGGCAAATCGGTGACGTTGCTGGGATGCAGCCTAGATGCGAGTATATGACATCCCAATGGCACTCTAGATCTCAGCACAGTTGAAACACACGTGCGTTTGGAGCTGCAGTACTCTGCTCTGGGCCAGCTTAGCAAATTAGATCAGCCTCCGTTCTGTAAAATCCTCAGCAGCAACAGTAAGCGCTAGACTACACGACTGCATCGATATGGCTCCTAGAGCTGCCATATCATGAAGAGAAAACGGCAGACGAATGTTGACTTCATAGGTCATACCGTGCGACCGCTGTCATAGGTCGTGCATTCGCCATCTGCATGCTAAAATTGTGGTATTTTCCCACGCATCGCAGGCAATTTCTACGGATTGTGGCAATTTTCCGTCACTGCGAACACGGTTTTCCTCACGGTTGTAACACGTTGACTAATTTGCCTTTTTGCAAATAAGTCACCGCGAGTCGACAACGCCGATATGCCGTCGATCACATATATGTATTAGATAATTGGGAACACGGCGGTTTCTGGTGTATTCACGTGGTAAATGTGCTCACAGCGATGCCATGAAGAAAATAACATAACAGCTTTTCCAGTAAATGTGTTCAATGAAGGCACACATGAAATTCCCTTTCTCTGCACAATGTACATGGAAAGTACACGTATTGTGTGTAGATGTAATGCATTTCGGCTTTTCCGAAGGGAAACAGTGTTCTAGCTAGACGCAGCCTTGGAGCATGACCCCCGTTCCTCTCCAGTCACAACGATTATGACATCTTGCCAGATTCATAGAAATGCTGAACGAAAGATGCTCAAACAAAAGACTCCCCTGTTCAGCCAGCGGCGATCACGGTTTGGCCAGCAGGTCCGCAGTCACCGTGAGTGCAACTAAGGCCGCCAGCATCCTGAAGTGCACGTCTCGAAGACTTGGGCACCCGCAACACAGCAAACTGCCAGCCTCTAACAGTCGGTAGCCTTGTAATGGTCGTCGTCGGTGGTGTTGTAGATGTGACCTTCATTGCTGAGGAACTCCACGATGCGGTCGACCTCGGGCCGGGGGAGCTTGCCGGCCACGCTCGCGTACACCTGGTCGCGGTGCACACCCTGGTCGCTGTCGCACGCGTGGATGGCCGAGTACACCATCTGCTGCTGCGGCGTCAGGCCAACTATGCCGCCGCCCATCACCATCGGCACCTCGCCGCCGCCGCCGCCGACGGTGGAGTTGGGCAGCCCTCCAGCGCCCGCAGCGCCGCCTCCGGCCGCCAGCGCCGCCACCTGCTGGATCTTGAGCAGCGCGTGCTGCACCTCCAGCCGGTGGATGAGCTGCTCCTCGGGCGTGATGGCTTCCAGGTTGAAACACATGACGGACGGCGGGCCGCCGCCCTTGCTCGGCCGCACGCGCGCCACCATACGGCAGAGCATGCCCTCGGCCAGATCGCCGTCCGGCTCGGCGCCGGCCTCCGGGTCCAGCCAGCGCACAGCCGACACGGAGCCGGTGTCGTCGGTCAGCGTGTAGCCCACCTTGGTGGCGGCACGGTCTATCATCTCCAGGCGGCCGGCCAGCACGGCCATGTGCACCTCCTCGCCGCCGACGCGCAGTGGCTGGTCGGGCGGCGTGGCCAGCACGGTCGACACGTCCACGGGCACCACACTCTGGATACGGTCGGGCCGTTTCTCGGCAGAGGCGCCGGCGCTTGGCGAGCCGAACTGGCCGGCAGACGGGCTGAGGAAGCCGCCGCCGCCGCCGCCCGTCTTGTCCGTCTCACTCCACATGATCTGCAATGATGGCGGCGCCAGTCAGGTCAGGTGGGCAGAGGGCCTGACAGGGTGAGCGAAAGGTCTGACAGGGCGCGCAGAAGATCTGACAGGGCAGGCAGAGGGTCTGACAGGGTGAGCGGGGGTCTGGCAGGATGAGTGGAATGTCTGACAGGGTGAGCGGAGGGTCTCACAAGGGAGAGGGTCTGACAGGGTGAGCAGTGGGTCTGACAGGAATGGTAAGAAAATAATTAACAATGTTATTTGGACCACCAAGCAGTGATACCTAAGCAATTATTTAATATTGGAAGCCATATTACAATTACATATTTTAGTCATGAATAGCATCATGTACCAGTGCACACCATACACTGGACTGAAAACATACTGGTGAATTTTCTGTGGTCAATGCAGTCCAAACTTCATTATATAACAAATGTAAAATCTGCATGCCTGCTCTTGAAGACACAGAGGACCAGCCATGAATTGTGCAGACATGGAGGGCAGAGGTTTGATGGAACTTACTAACAGGCAATAAAGAAAAAAACCTGGGCTGCACAAAATAACACTTATACTCTCAGGTACGGTTGAGACATCAATGTCACATATCACAGCATGATGTCACATATCACAGAAGCTTTGCCTAGTGCCACCAGTGAGAAGCAAAAGGAAAGGGAATGAAAAAATCAGGAGTGTTACATTTTTTGTTATGGTTCCCTTCAAGGATGAAGAGAGCTTTCATTACAGTTGGGGCCAGTCTGCAATAGAGCTCTCCACTCTGCTACACACATTCACATCATTTTGATGCACTGAACCCAGAACTCACACATGCCAAAATCAGGCAAGGATAAATTGCACCAAATTTTCTGATTACTTATGTGCTAAATTTTTTCACAGAATTTTGCAGTATCTGACCTTTGCAGCAGCTTGATTGAAATATCGGCTGAATGTGTGCTTTGAAATCAGTAGAGACTGTGCGCAAAACGCTGAATGCTTGGAATCATGCTGTGAGTACACTGAGTGTGTAATGTTGCTCCTGTAGTATACATGTTCAACATTACATATATCCTTGCAGTTTGGGTTGGGGGGAGGCAGCTGCAGTCCCCACAACATTGAGAAGAAAATGGGCCTAATCCAGAGATACACTTTAATGCGTATTTTAAATGTAAATCAAACAGTTTGAACCATGCTCTGATCCCCAACCTTACTATGAAAAACTAAGCCCCCAGTCAAATACGCAATATGAGCAGAATCAGCGCTGCCAGTCCATTACCAGTGTAGATCAACAGCGCAAAGCACCTACTTGGGGCACAGGCAATGGTCCACCTCGAAGAAACGTAAATCGCCATATACAACCACGCGTAAGTTAACTCGCTCAAAATTTTACGTAAGAGCCTTATACCAGTGCCGCCTCCATCACTTACCAAACTTTTCGCGTGGCACCCCTCGCCCCCTGAACGTGCACAGACCTGTGCGCAATTGCACATTCAGCCACAAGGCCGCAGGCCGAACCGCCAAAGCGTTCGGCGCCAAAAGTGGCCACAATCGTCGAGGATTCCTGAAAGAAACTTGGAACCCCACACAAAGCTATCTCTAATGTGCGTTAGTTATATGTCTCTAAATAGTAAAAAGTGACATTGATGTACTAATTTAGTCTATTTATTTTAGTATAAAGCTTTTATGTGTTCTAATTTGTCAAATAATTTGTTTTTAAAATGGGGCAAATTCTTTAAAGTCATTCAACACATGAAGGAAGTAGCTGTCTTTCGCGATTTGGTGATTCTAAGCGTCAAGACGGAAACGGCGCATGTCGTACGAAAACGGTCTGGTACTTCCATTACAAAAAAAGGCTAAGACGCAGGACGTTCGGACAACACGGGGAGAGACCGCTGGGTGGGACGTTGGCGGTTGTTGTGGTTGGGTTGCAACGTGTGATTAATATACGTCGTGCAGGTTAGTGTTGCTGGCATAGCTTCATGTTTCGGTTCTGTATTGATTCGCGTAATCTGAAAGTTCTTGCCACTAATTGCCCCTGGTGGGCTGATACTAGACAAAAGCAACCAGTTTAGGTCCAACCTAATCCTTTTGGCAACTTTGTCTCCATGTAATGCTGTTTGTTTTTTATTTTTGGTATAGTTATAGATAGGTCATCAAATGACATGGTGACCAAAAATACTCCAAACCAGAAAGATCAGTTTGCAGACATCCAATGCATTTTCATGGCATGTCTGCAAACATGTAGACATCAGCTGACACCATGCACATTACACCACACACTGTGCACATTCACCAGTTGATGCACCATTATGGTCAATATCCTATTTTTTCCAGAACATGGTAAATGTGGGTCAAGTTAAAGGTCACCAGAGGCCCCAGGCCACCAAAATTGGCTGCACATGACCCCATGCTGTATGTGTAGGGAGCGGATTGAAACCATATCTTTACCAATTGATGCACAATGGTTGATCATCTGCACTGATTGAAAATTGTCACCTTAGGTCAGGTCAAAGGTCACAAAGGCAACCAAGACCAACATTTACTGCAGACAATCTTGGGCAATCTCATTCAGCCTGTGAGTCTGACCAGCACACAACCATCAGCAATTGGTATATCATCATCAGCAACATATTCTTTAGGGATCATAATGATTTGGGATAGGGCCAAGGTTACCAAGCATACAAAAAACCAACAAGACTCATTTTGCAGTAAACCCCAAACTCTGAACCTACATTATAGATTAGTGCACAGCCTTTCCTGACTGATAGAATGTGGTTGATAACCTATCATTTCTAGAACATGGCAACCTTGGGCCAGGTCAAAGGCCACTAAAATGACCAAGAGCACCAAAATTTACTGCAGACAATCTCATGTTTCCAGCCTGTGAGATTGATCAGAATAAGACCCCCAGCAGTTAATGTGCCATGGTCAGCAACCAATTCTTACAGATCATAGTGATCTTTCAATCCCATGCTCCAAGCCAATGTCTTTGATTGACACAAAACCTTCATCAATCAATACATCATGGTCAATTTCTTATCCGTACCAGAATAAAGAGGTGTTTGGTCGGGTCAAAGGTCACCAATAATGCCTGAAACCCCCAGGAGTTGGTCTCAAAATGACCTTTGACATTATCCAAGGCTATATAAAAATCTTCTGGAAAGAATAGGTTATTGACCATGACAAATCAGTTGGTGAGTGTTTTGTGCCACTTAATCTTAAAGGCTTGGAGCATGGGCTGTCTACAGCCAATTTTGGTGTTTTTGAGTGCTTTTCTTGATGATTATCTTGGCTCAAGGTCATCCCCTTCTGGAAATGATAGAGTTATGAACCATTGTCCATCATTTGTTTAAGTCTTGTTGTGCCTATTGGTCCCATAGCATGGACTGTCCACAAATTAATATTGGATGGTTTTGGCCATTTAAGTGACAATTCAGCCCAAGATCACAATCATATGCAAAGTACAGGTTATATGTACCATTGTGCATCACTTGGTGAAGGTTTTGTTGTGATAGGTGCTGTACACGTGGGGCACTAGGATGTCTGCAATGACATTTTTGTCAGTTTCATGCCTTGTTGGTGACCCTTGTGTGACTTAAGGTTTCCATGTTCTGGAAAGGATGGGTTATCAGCTAAAGCCATGGATTGTTAAATGTTTCATTTAGATTGGTTCCTTAGACTCAGAGTGTGTGTGTGTGTGTCTGCAGCCAACATTGGTGTTTTGGGACATTTTTAGTGACCTTTGACCCAGCCCAAGGTCACCATGTTCTGGGAAAATGTGTACCAGCCACAGCACATTGATTGGTAAAAGTTTGCTTTTCATCAAGGCCTAAGCCTCAGAGTATAGAGTTGTCTGCAAAAACATCACGCAAGCTTCAGAAGTTTTTAGCTGTCTCGGGCACTTTTGGCAGCCTGCGGCCTGACTCAAGATTACTGTGTTCCGGAGAGGATGGGCCAGTGGCCATGGCTAGCTGGTTGGCAAAGGTTTTTGACAGATAAAGCCCAGAACCTCAGGGCATGGGCTGGTCTGCATCCAAATGTGCTGGTTTAAAATGTTTTGGTGACCTTTTCCTCGACTGTTTCTGGTCTGAGAAGTGCAGCTTTTTGACCAAGGCATATAAATTGGTGCAGGTTTTATGCCGATCGGCCTCCCAGGCTAGGTGTACAGGGTCTGCATCTAGTGCTGTCAGTTTTTGCTTTCTGTGACTTTCGACCAGGCCCTAGGTCGCCATCTTCTGGAAACGATCGGTGATCGACCAAGGGGTATCCAGTGGTGAAGGTTTGGTGGCAATCAAACCCAGAGGCTCGGAACATGGGGTTCTGGACAGATTTTGTGGGTCATTTACACCCTCCCAATGCAGTATGAATGCTGTGCTTAATACAGCGGGACACTTCCCTAGCTTTAACACAATTTTAACTTCCCAAGGATGTTTTACAGATATCTAGCGTGACCATTAACAGAAACATATGCACGAAAATTGCAGTTTGCAGCCTGATGCTGAAGCTGGAATAGATGGGACTGTGAGGTAATGTGCTTATAAGTTCATCTTTTGTATGTTCATTGCTTTGTGGTTCTGACGATTATCTTTTCAATCACAGGAAAATTTGCTGATGCCAGACTTGTTCATTATTGTATATATATATATATATTAGGCTCATTGAAAAGATGGAAATAAGAATGGGTTTATTTACCCCAGTCTTATGTCGTGGTATCATGTTAATTGTGCTATGCCGTTCTTGTGAAGCTAAAACTGGTTACTACCAATCTTGCCCCAGCATAGCCAGATATCCAACACTCATGTGCTGGAAAATACAGAAATATGAGCTTTGGAGGTCATGCTTTAGTCTTTATTACTAAGATATTGGTGCTACCAATACTTGTCCTCAGTGATGCACATTTGTTACCGAGTGTCCTGCACTGCATGCTTCAGAGTGGAGCCTTGTTTACAAACATGGCAATGCTGCATACTTTGAAAGTGGTTGTTGCACCTTATTTGTGTCCACCCCAGGACATTTCATCTGTTCTCGAGCAATGTGTGACATGGAGTGGTGCTGTGTGTCAGTAGAGTGGCTGTTGCATTTTACTTGCGTCCACCCCAGGACATTTCACCTGTCCCCAAGCAATCTATAACAAGGGATAGTGCACTGTGTCAGTACAGCTGATCTCCGTTGCAGAGTGCTCGGCCGTCTGACAATGCTGGCGAGGTGGGGCCGCGGCTGTCTGGTGCAGTGTGTCAGTACAGCTGATTTCCGTTGCAGGGTGCTCGGCTGTCTGACAATGCTGGGCGGGGTCGGGCCGCGGCTGTCTGGTGCAGTATGTCAGTACAGCTGATTTCCGTTGCAGGGTGCTCGGCCGTCTGACAATGCTGGGCGGGGTCGGGCCGCGGCTGTCCGCCGTCCTGCGGGCCGCCACAGTCACTGTGACCCCTGTGCGGTTCCGCTGGCACGCCAACAAAGTGGCACGCGGACCCGCGCTCCGTCGCTATGGCTGGAACAAGGAGCACATCATGCCATCTGGTGGGTAGTGCGGCAGAGCAGCCAGCATCTTAGCCGATGGGCGTTACGTCCTGTCTAATGTCGGGTAAATACTCTCGCCGGCTGTGTGTCCAGGTCAGTTCCCAATGCATCTTTATCGACAGCATCAGCACATCAGCACAGTTTGTGGGAAGTAAATCCACATGTTTGGGATGTATGGGACTTGCCTGTCCCGCGCTCTCCTAACTAAAGTACTCGCATGGCGATGCGGGTCAGTCACAGCAATGCATGCGTGGTAGGGTCTTTGACCTGGCTGCCATCCCTTTTAAGTGTTCCATCAAATTGCTGATGCAACTTGTTCAGTGTGTATGTTTTGTCAGACGATGTTTGTCGTTGGCCTGGCATTGTTCTTCAAAGATTTGAGCGTCAAGCCTCGGTACTTTCTAGGGCTACTGCCAAGGAAGGAAGGCGCCAGACCGCTCGGTTTTCCCCAGTACAAACCAAGCAATGCATGGTCACCGAAGAAGGCACTTTTTGGTCAGAACGACTACATCGGTAAGCTGGCTTAAATCTTAGTGAGACTGGGACGAAATGATAAATTGAGTTGCCTAGCAGTGCATGAGTTTGACAGCAGCATTGCGTCTGTTGCAAGCATTTCCAATGGTACGCCACGTAAAACCAGACGAAGGTATCGGCATTGCTGTACGATGTTTTGTGACTGTCACTATCCCGGCGCTTAGCATGAGTTAAAAGAAGCCAGAAATGAGATAGAAGATGACCACGCGCCATGTCGAGGAGCGTAGTATTTCTTAGCCATGCGGAGTCGTTCGATGTTCCGCGTGGCGACAGCTTCGCTTACGCACGACCCATGGCCTGACCGGTTCGTCCTCTCCCGTGCCTCAGACATCCTCGGCAACGGTTCGCTCCATCCGGTGCAGCTGCTGTACAAGGTGCCGCCTTGGCTGCGCGGTTTCCGCGGCAACGAGTACCAGATGCTGCTGCGCAAGCGGAAGGTAATGGGCTCCCTTCTGGAGGACCACTACCCCACCAAGAACTACAACATGCAGAAAAGGATAAAGTACCTGTATCGCTTCCTCAACCACGGCCGTACCAAGGACTACTTCTGGCGAAGGACGTAGCTGACTCTCGGCTCTCTTGTGTAGTCGTGGTAGGCACTGCTCCAGATATGTTGGCGAACGGGACGTTTTCGAAGCGGGAGCGGTGTGAAGTGTATTGCACCGGTGTTTTTCAGTGTTTTGATGTCTTCGGGAACGCCGTGGGTGATCGTGTGTCCTGCACATGAGTACGGTTGGTGGTCTAAATACATCAACGATGTGTACTTTTTTGTAATTTTCGTGACTTTCCTAAAAAACACAAAGTAGGAGAATAACGATTCGCATTGGGTTACTGTTAGCATAGTCGTCAGGGTCTAAGTCAATTGGTGTGAGGGGGAACAGGAGGAGAGCTGCGGCAGTTCCCACTTCACCCGACATATCCTGCAATATTTTCGCGGTTTGCGGTAAGTTCTCTTCGTCACGGGCCGCAGCAGCACGCTTTAACTTTTGGTTCCCGAATGAGAGCGTTATTATTTGAGAGCGGAATTCCTGTTCGGAGTGTGAGGCAAGTAAGCCACCTGGCTTCTCCTCCTTGGCAAATGACTACACACTTCATTGACACCTCGCTTACGGAAATTTGAAAAAAAGACGTCATACCACACCTATTGAGATCCAGGGCAGTTGAGCTTTTGGCGTGTTACAAAGGATATACCCTGACATACACAGACGGATCCAAAACCTCGGATGGCGTGGGTTGTGCTTTCATTAGCGGTTCCGTCACTCGAACGTTCTCGTTACCGGCCCACCCGTCAGTTTTTACAGCGGAATTAGTTGCAATCACCAAGGCGATATGTTTCATAGAAGTGGGTGAAGAATCTTCACACGCCATTTTTACAGATTCACTGAGCAGTCTTTCTGCACTGAAGTCTCTTTATCCATCACGTCCCCTTTTACAGGACATTTTATCACGCCTGACACAATTGGATCGGGTTGGAAAGAGAGCTGCGATGTGCTGGATCCCTAGTCACGTCGGTATCGTGGGCAACGAACTGGCTGATGCCGCTGCTAAGCGAGCAGCGGTAGCACCATATACCCGGTTTTTGCCTATCCCTGCCAGAGATTTTTACCCGGCAGTCAAGACCTTCCTGAGAAGCAAATTGCAGCGTTGTTGGGACCAGGTGGGGGGCAATAAGCTCAGGGCAATAAAGACAGAGTTGGGCTTGTGGTCGTCATGGTCTCGCGGTGTGCGGTGGGAAGAGGTGGTTTTATGCAGGCTGCGCATTGGGCTTACTTATGCCACCCGTGGCCATCTGTTGCATGGAGCCGACAGACCTGTATGCCAGCGGTGTGGTGCCGTCCTGAATGTCCATCATGTCATTATATCATGTCCATGCCTCATCGAAGAACGACGACGTCACTTTGGTTCACAGTCTTCGACCCTGACGATTAACGATGTGCTTGGTGACAGTTCCTCCTTTCTTGATCCCAAACAGCTCTTTTCGTTTTTAAAAGATATTGATTTTCAAGTCATTTTCACACCGTACTAATTAAGTAACAGCATAGTTATGGGCGCAAAATGACCACTGCAGTCGACGCGCCCGAAAACTCCAATGAACAACAAAAAGGAACAGGAGGAGAGTCAAACATAAATTGCGATGCTCTTGAGCACGCCCTTCGGCAGATGTCTTTGCTTACTTTATGCTATAAATGTTCCATTTATGGGGCCTTGGGCCAACCTAGGGTATGAGAGTGACAGCCCAGGTGGTGGTGAAGCCTGGCACACCAACCGCAAAGCTCTATAGAATGGAAGAAGCTACTATGATGAGGAGATGTTCTCACCAACCGAGTTTATCACCAGAAGGCCCCCCATCAGAAGCTCATCTGTGACCGGCTGTAACCGAGAAACGTCTACAAACACTTGTATTGAATAAATAGCATTCCATCGGGCTACATTTGTATCACAGGATCCGCACGGCTCCCACGGTGAGGCACAGGAGCAGCAGGCTCCGCGGCGCCCCGGCCGGAGCCCGCCCTCGGCCTGGCTCCGGTGCCAGCTCGGCGTGCATCACAGGCCATAGGCTGGGCTCGGCGGCCGCCACCGGGCTGCCGGACGCCAGCCACGCGCGCAGCTTGTCGGCCTCGAGGTGGCAGGCGCGCGCCGCCGCCGCGCGCTCTGGCGTCACCGTCACTATCAGCTGGCGTGGCGCTTCCAGCCGACCGGTCAGCACACACTCCATCGTGCCCACTAGGTGGCGCAGCGCCGCCAGCGCTGCCCGCGCCGGCAGCCGCGCGCCCAGCGCCGCCAAGCGGCGGCCGCTGAAATACAGCCTCAGCGAGCGGCCGCAGGGCGGCGCCGCGTGACTGCAGTTGGCGTTTAGCGATTGGCAGTCGGGTGAGGTAGTGCAGTGGGCGCCGGGGACTTCACACCTGTCCGCAGCCACCGGGCAAGCCTGCCGGGCGGAGAGGAAAGGAGACTAAAGTGCCGCTTCGGGTAGTGCCGCTCAGTACTGCATCGCATGCTTCAGCTTGCCATGGAGGCTAAAGCGTTTATTACGAAGCTGTTGTGTTCATGACAATGTTCCACGTCCCGCTACGGGAAAATGGACATCTGTTTTCGAACACAGGTAGCATCATCAGTGCGAGGCTACTTGAATCGTGTACAGCTTGCAGATATCATCAACAGCTATTCGTTCTTACCACGTAGGGTTGGCGCCATGTACTTTCCTCGACGGAATTCAGTGGGGCCACGGATTGCTCGCACGCTGATACAGCGTCAGCTATGGCATCCGATGTCTCCGGCACTGAAGCACGGCGCCTCGTCACACAATGCATAAGCGACCAGCCGCCAGCTGCCCATTTGTCAGCGAGTGTCATAAAATCCAAGGCCTGCACGGCAGATGCCGGCAAGCTATGTCGAGGAGATCTTAAGTCGAGAGTCTTTGGTAAGGCTGTGGATTGGAACAATTGCTGTGCATGATTACAGTGATATCAATACATTACGCAAAAACCATCGGACAAATACTACAGTTACCATAACAACATCAATATATTGTGTGCTAAAACATTGCATAAATTAACACACAGTAAACCATTTATTATGATTGGCCCATCGCGAATCCTTGAGTCATATCTTCATCAGCGAAGCCGGTGGATGCGACGCCAGCCGGGCACGCTGGCGAGTGGACCAGGGGAGGGCACAGCACTACCGCTAGCGAGCGGGCCAGAAGCGGGCGAAGCACCACCGCCAGCGAGTGGGCCAGAGGCGGGCACAGTGCTAGCGCCAGCGAGTGGACCAGGGGAGGGCACAGCACCACCGCCAGCGAGCGGGCCAGAGGCGGGCGAAGCACCACCGCCAGCGAGTGGGCCAGAGGCGGGCACAGTGCTAGAGCCAGCGAGTGGGCCAGAGGAGGGCACAGCACCACCGCCAGCGAGCGGGCCAGAGGCGGGCGAAGCACCACCGCCAGCGAGTGGGCCAGAGGCGGGCACAGTGCTAGCGCCAGCGAGTGGACCAGAGGAGGGCACAGTGCTACAGTCAGCGGGCGGGCCAGGGGCGGGCACAGTACTACCGCCAGCGAGCCGCCTCACCGCAGGTGTGCTCGGCGCATGGCTGGAGGCTGTCCACGCAAAGCTCCGGATGCGGCTCGCACCGGTACCCGCTCTGGCATGGATGTACCTCGCACGGGTCATACCGCAGCAGCGGCTTGGAGCATCTGTGGAACCACCGCAGGATGTACGCTAGGCATGTTTTTCCAATCACCGGAAGCTTTCCAACTTTAATCCGTACAAAAGTTCTGGTATGGACCGCCGCAGCTCGGAAAAAAAGCTCTGGTTCAGACTACCATAAGAACAAGCGGCAGTTCAAGCGTGCTTAACGAGAGAGCGCGGCTAATGCCATTCCTACTCTGCGTGTTGAAAGCGTGCGCACCGTAGACCTGAAAGGTGATGACCCACTGACGGGAGCTGCCAGCTGACCTGTGGTTCTGCAGCCGCAGACAGGTGGGCACACGCGGCCCGGAGCGGCGCGCGAGCGGCCGCACGGCTTTGGCGCACTCGGCGGCCGTTCGACACACGAGCTCGCCGTCCACGCACACGCAGCTCTGGCAGCCGTGCTGCTCCACGGTCCCGGAGCCTGCCGGGTCAGCCGGCCAGTGTCAGCGGGTCAGCCGGCCGGGGTCGGCCAGCCGGGGTCAGTCCACCAGGGTCAGCGGCCGAGGTCAGCGGGTTAGCCCGCCGGGTGAGCGGATCACCAGCTGGGGTCAGCTCGCTGGGGTCAGCCCGCCGGGGTCAGCGAGTCAGCCGGCCGGGGTCGGCCAGTCGGGGTCATTCCACCAGGGTCAGCGGCCGGGGTCAGCGGGTTAGCCAGCCGGGGTCAGCCCGCCGGGGTCAGCGGCGCCCTGGAACAACTAGACCACCGAGCCGTCATGGTGGAACCGGAGCAAGCAGGTCTGACGCCGCCGCAGGCGTACATCTGATGCCATATTTTAAGAGCGGAGCTGTGTTTGTAGAGTGGCCAGGGGGCCACCGGGCGTTCAGAGAGGTCCGGTAGGACGATGACGTACTGTGCTTAGCATACTGCGCACACTGTCACACAACTCGCAGAGGCTGACGGTCTACCCAAACATAGCGTCTATCGGGATTTCTGCTAGCATCGCATGAACCAGGACAGCATTTCCGGGCTGGGTTGCAAAGAGGTGTGGCCTCCACGTTCGAATACTTACTGATTTGCCTCCCGAGTGAAATACACGAGAGGCTTCGCGGTATTGTAATGCTTCTGCACTTCACCAGCTCTCCCCCTGGTGTGCACATGAGCAGCGAGAGCTTGTTGCTTTCCCCGACAGATGGCAAGAGCACGGCAGATCCGACAGGCGCCATCCGGTCGGTGACAGAACTCAGCCGACAGCCTGTGTGAAATTGAAACATGTCATCTGATCTGAGTGTATTCCTATGGAGAAGCTATTTCAAATGCTGATCTTCCACAGGTTACCAGAACATGAAGACTATTACGCTCTTTGCTTCGATTTTTTGTTTGCCTTTGTATTTAAATCATTGCATTCATCACGAATCAAAACGGTATTTCGTAACGGAAAATTTCAGCAAAGCAACTGGAAGGTACTATGCTCTCAGCATAATTATTTTTGGTTTCTTCCGCAAAGACTCATGGCGACTTAGCAGCGTAATGTTGACTACGAGGCAGTCAAAGACCGGTGAATATGAAGCTATTGCGAGCCTATGCGGCCCTCCAGTGGCCTGAAGCCGTACCTGGCCGGCAGACACGCCTGGATTGGTTCTGGTGGCCGACCCTGCAAACCTCGCCGGGTCCGCACGGCGACGGCAGACACGGACTGCTGGTCTGCAGGAATAGTAGCGCATCACACACGGCACACCTCGGTGAGGTACCATCAATATTTTGGCCGGAATACACGGCGAAAATATCGCAGCCAGTCTTTTGTTCAACTTTGCTTGCGACAGCAGCGACATGTGTTGAACTTTTTTAAAGCAGACATACGACCCCTAAATACCCGAAAACACCATGTTCAAATATGTTATGTGTCGCTCAAAAGCCTCCCAAAAATGGCTGTTTTATCACATGACGCTGGCACCTGTTTGCTATGTTGCACTTGAAGCCACATCATAGCATACACACACAGTCCGGGTCAACAGGGCACTCACCTGGTAGTGTACCGACGAGAGCGCCTCTGGCGGTGGCATGCGGACGCAGTCAGGGTCCGGTTGGGCCATAAGCGAACAGAAGGCGGCAATGTCCACCACGCCGCCACTGGATGGCGTCAGGCAGCGCTCCGACAGGCGCATACAGTCCGACCTGAAGTCATGCCGGGGGTGGACACCTCGGACTTGACATAATCAGGAGATAATGATGTGAATTATATGCCGAAACGTACGAAGTGCGCCACGGGATCACTCTGCTCGACACTGGTTTAGGGCCAGATAAAACATCAGCACAGTTATATTATGAGATATTCATTGTACTATCCGAAACTCCGCGCTCCCTTCCCATATGGGTGGTGGAGTCGTCTAAAGGCAGAAGAAAAACACGGTCTCTTTTTCACCAACGGGTACCACGCTATCGAAAATGTCTCCACTGCAGCGCAGCCTGCCAGGCCTGCAGCATTCCACAGTCACCAGACCAGACAGCCGCCAGCAGTGCTCCGGGGATTCACCAGACCAGACAGCCAGCAGCAGTGCTCCGAGGCATCACCAGATCAGACAGCCGCCAGCAGTGCTCCGGGGATTCACCAGACCAGACAGCCAGCAGCAGTGCTCCGAGGCATCACCAGATCAGACAGCCAGCAGTGCTCCGGGGTATCACCAGACCAGATAGCCAGCAGTGCTTCGGGACATCATCAGACAGCCGCCAGCAGTGCTCCGGGGAGTCACCAGACCAGACAGCAAGAAGCAGTGCTCCGGGGAGTCACCAGACCAGACAGCAAGAAGCAGTGCTCCGCGGAGTCACCAGACCAGACAGCCAGCAGCAGTGCTCCGGGGAGTCACCAGACCAGACAGCCAGCAGCAGTGCTCCGGGGAGTCACCAGACCAGACAGCCGCCAGCAGTGCTCCGGGGAGTCACCAGACCAGACAGCCGCTAGCAGTGCTCCGGGGAGTCACCAGACCAGACAGCCAGCAGTGCTCCGGGGAGTCACCAGACCAGACAGCCAGCAGCAGTGCTCCGGGGAGTCACCAGACCAGACAGCCAGCAGCAGTACTCCGGGGCATCACCAGACCGGACAGCCAGCAGTGCTCCGGGACATCATCAGACAGCCGCCAGAAGTGCTCCGGGACATCATCAGACAGCCGCCAGCAGTGCTCCGGGACATCATCAGACAGCCGCCAGCAGTGCTCCGGGACATCATCAGACCAGACAGCCAGCAGTGCTCCGGGACATCATCAGACAGCCGCCAGAAGTGCTCCGGGACATCATCAGACAGCCGCCAGCAGTGCTCCGGGACATCATCAGACAGCCGCCAGCAGTGCTCCGGGACATCATCAGACAGCCGCCAGCAGTGCTCCGGGACATCACCAGACAGCCGCCAGCAGTGCTCCGGGGAGCTGCAGCGCGTCGCTGGCCGAAGAGGGGCCGACCGGTGACCCCAGCGCCGACGGTCGGCCGTCCAGCTCACCTGCAGACGTCGCCCACCGAATGGTCCTCCGCCCGGCACGGCTGCAGCTGCAGGAAGCAGGCCAGCCGCCGCAGCTCCGCCCGGCACTGGCCCGTCGTCACGATGGACAGGTTCCGGAACGGCACGCCTGAGGGACGCCGGCAGCGCAGAGGTGGGTCACAGCAGACCGGACTCGTCTGGTGGTGGTCAGTGATGACGACGCGACGCGAGCTCGGCGGCAGGGACGGGGAGGGTGGGTATCACGCGACGCCAGCTCGGCGGCAGGGACCGAGAAGGATGGGTATCACGCGACGCAAGCTAGGTGGCAGTGACGGGGGTATCTCGGGACACGAGCTCGGCGGCAGTGACGGGGAGGGTGGGCATCCCGGGACACGAGCTCGGTGGCAGCGACGGGGGAGAGGGAACACCCTGGGACGCAAGCTCAGTGGCAATGACGCGGGAAGGTGGGTATCCCGTGAAATTAACTTGTGTGACGGCCTGAGAGAACGGCTCAGTCCGAGCTGCGATCGGCTGAGCGTCACACAGAGGAGAGGAGAGTACATGTGATCGCCACCATGTCGCCACTGTCTCGTACAGCTGCATCTCACCAAATTTTCCCGACCGCATCCACTCAATGTACTGCATTTTGGCTTTGTCGTCGGACTCCTGGTCCCAATGACGGTACAGGCCCGTGCTGCTGGCCGTGAAGTCGCGACAGAAACGTAGTCGGCCCGAGTTGGGCTGGCAGGGCACCTCCGCTGCGGAGAACAAGCCGTGTAAGACGTACAGTGCATGCTCGGGAGATTTGCATGAGTTGTAGCGGCTGAGTGATGCGGGTGCGAACGAGGGTAGATATGCACGAGTGCTCGCTACCAGTCAAACAAAGCATGCCAGACATTGATACGGACAAACAAAAATCACAGAGTTCTCAGAACGATAAGGGAAGAGGTGGCAGCCGCGAAGGCATGCATACCGCTAGGAGGGATTGCCGGGTTACCTGTGTTCCAATGGTAACATCGACGCACACCTCCCAATGCCCTCCGGACAGGAATGGTCCACCTACCGTATGACGAAGCGGGCCTGAGAAGGGATCCTTACGCCAGTCCACTTCAGCGCCGTGACCACAACCTCTTACCTCTGACACCTCGCACACGGGGTTTTCACACCCGCAGCCCAGTCTCGTCCAGACCAACGCCAGCAGCGTACCGTCTCTGACGCAGCGGCGTAGGCGAGGCTCGCCGTATTCGCTGCTGAGGCACTCGAGCTCGAAGCTCGGTCCCTGCAGGTGCCAGCCGAGGCTGTAGGCGTCTCTGCAGAGTCGGCGGCACGGGGCCGTGTCCGCCAGGGAGCAGCAGAGCAGCTCCAGCCGGTAGAGCGGCCGCGCCGGCGCCGGCGGCTCAACGCCCACGCACGATCGGAACGCTGCATCCTGCGGGGAGGAGGCCGGCCGCGGTCGGATGGATAACGATCTGTGAGGGCCAGGACAGCCAGGGCAGATTGAGGCTCTTCGAGGCACGTATGTACACACTGGTTGGCTCGATGGCTGTGGATGATCGAAGGTCGAAGGTCGAAGGTGACGGGGACACTTTAGCATCTAGCAAACTGGTAGGGATACCTACATGACATGCGTCGTCTGAACATTGGGTTCGGATAGCTGTCGCAATATTAGTGGTAAGGCAAAAGTTCCTACCGGCAGGGGTGTTACAGCATTAGTTCTACGCGGCATTACCTCTTCTGCAAAACCTCCTTCGGTGTTGCCTCTTCGCGACATTATATCAATCGTAAAAATGTCTTCAGACTTTACTCATTTGCAACATACTTCTACTGCCCATATGTATTCATAAAGAGCTACGCGTCAAAACTTATGCTTCAAAAATCCATACCCGCTATTACTTCTTCTCCGAAAGCTCATATGGCAATTATCTGTACGCGACTTCTCTTCAGTTACCAAGAGTTTTCGCGATATGCGCGACAATTTATACGCGGCACTTAAGACGCGAAGATTTTATTGCAAAAACTTATGCACAGCATTAGTGTACGGTGGTTACACCACAAAACTTACACTTCAAAAACATATGCCAATCATTGCTTCCGCAACACAAACTTATGCAGTCACTTCTTAGACGTAACATTACCTTGCTTGAAACAGTGTCATACGACAGTGGTTCTAAACGACAAAGCTTAAAAGTCATGCAAAACTTACACCTAAAGGCTTATACCGTCATTACGTCAGTTGGAAAAGCTTGTCGTCTTAGCCTTTGAGTGATATTGCTGAAACTGCCAATGCTCGTACACATTTTTCGTGCTGTGCAATACACTGCGTCAGAAATTATACCTGTCTATACTTTCACTCATAGGTCAACCCCCTCCAAAACCCAGGAAGGAGTAAAATCATGGAAACACTTGGATGCCGAAATCAGTGCTCACTGAATGTTGTCGATACACCATTGATACTGCAATTATTGCAATCGACGGACCTATAACGGAAAAAGTTGTACGCAGTATTTTCCTACTAAACAAACAGCGTATAATGCAGTGTCGTTGTGGTGAAAGACAAGTTTAAGGCCTAAGCGGGGTAAAAACGACCAACCCTGTCCCAAGTACATAAAGCAGGACGTTTGCTCATAATGTAACACACCTTCATATCCCCAGTGAGGGGTAGACAGGGTCCCCGAAGGAATATGAGACTGAATCCTTGGCCTGATTTTCACTTAAACATGGCAAAACATACACTACAATTACTTATGCACAGTGCTAGTACCACACGTCTGCACCGCAAAACTGATAGTGCCATAAACTGAACCCGTCATTGGGACTGCGCTACCAAATCTATAGCATTCGATCTTACGCCAAGCATGACAAAAAAACAAAACAACGCAACTAAGTGAGTTAGGGATTCACCGTATCGGCACCAAGAGATATAAACCGTAGAATTACCGAGTTAGGGTTCCCTTCTAATCTGCTAATTGGTCCTACAGCCATGTTACGTGTTCACGCATTTTGCACTTGACGGCTTGGCATTGACGGAAAAAATAATGCTGCGTCTGCTTGCAGACCATATAAGTTACAGCAAAAGCTGCGGCTGGTATACATTTTTGAGCAGTCTTTTCCCGTTTGGCACTCAAATGTCGTACAGCATCCTTTCCAGCGGAAGTAATGCCGTGTTTAAGTACTGCCAGTGAGGGTGATGGAGCATTTTTGTGGGTGGGAGTTTTTGTTATAGCACCAATGTCGTGGAACCGTTCTGATGAGCGTGCTGCACGCGTGGAACACATCGCTTTTAGCTGCAACGTTGACGCGGACCTTTTTCATCTCGCCCACAGTGTAAACGATTTCATGTGGGAACAGCGAGCTAACAACTGTTTGACTTTCCACTTCTGATCAGCGCCAGAACACGGCAGAAACATCAGTAAACAATGGTGATGCGTTGCCGTTAATCACATTTTTTATCGTTATTTTGACTCAGGCGGCACCAATAAAAACACGTGAGACATCATGTGAGCATGCCTCTGGAAGCAGTGTCATGTGCTTCAGACGCGCCCAGCAAGCTGTTGATATCAGTTACCGCTCCAGGGCCTATTCTTATTGCGACTACAGCATAAATGCTTTGTTGGATTTTTCCCCTAACGTAGCTTACCAGTCAGTGCTGGCCCCTGCTGATTGACAGTGTCCAGATGTTCGTCACATTTGTGTAATGCAAACAGAGGATGCAATACGTAAAAGCTCGCATGCAGTTATCTAGTGATATACGCTACTCGAATGCTCTTCCAGATTACAAGATTTCCTAGATTGCGTTGCCTAAATGTTTACACTGCGATAATCTGAAGCACAGTGCATACTCGAGAGTTATCTTGGAGCCCATTAGAGCCGCGCTTTGAAGAACTCAGTTCAGTGATATTCCGCTTCAAGTAAGGCTAATGTAGCTTGACACAGTTAAGCAAGCCCTTCAGCTCTTTGTTTTTGGCAGAAAAAGCTTCGAGTTCTTATGTTGAGTTTTTGACCCCGCTTTACCAAGAGGTCTTGTTAAACGGCTTTCTAGGACTGCCATGGTCTAATTGATATATATATATATATATATATATATATATATATATATATATATATATACAGATCTCAATTCTGGACGTTTCAAGCTGTGTTTATGATCATTTGTGACCATGAAACACAGTTTGAAACGTCAAATGCTGTTCATGTAGCTACCGTTTGTTCTAAAATGTTCTGAACTTTAAACCGCCTGGTATATTGAAAGACGCTAACTCGGCACACCAACCCTGAACTCACGATGTCAATGTAGTCTGATCTAATCAAAATAGGAGTTCTTAATTTGCGTGTACATCGCTACTTCTCGTATGGCCGATAAAACGGCTGGATGAACCCCGTCACCGGTCACAAAATCGCCCACCACGAGCAAATATTTAACTAAAGGTCGCCCAGACGTCGTATATACATACACAATACAGTCACCCAGGCGTGAGGAGAGCCAGTCTTAGCGAGCCCACTGCCTCGCCCGCACCAACGCCAGGAGCACAGCGAACGCCTGCTGCGGACGGCAGCGAGGATCGGCAAGCGTTTCCACCAGTGGCCTGGAGTCAGCGGCGGACTGCGCTGTCCCGGCCGCCAGAGTAAGCGGGGTGCTGGCGCGCGATGGCCTCTGACCTTGCTGCAGGCGCTCCCCTGCAGGCGCTGGGACGGCCCGGGCCGGCCGACGGCCGACGCCGCCTCCGACTCTGCGCAGACGGCGCGGCACGGCGCGGTCTCGGCGGCGGCGCAGCACTGCTTCGCTGCCAGCACAGCGCGGCCGCGGCGGTCAGAGCGTGCGGCTGGAGGTTATCCCACACCCCGGCCTTCTGAGGTCCCGAGTCCAGACCTCAGAAGGTCCAGGCTCTGGACCCCCAATGGCGGGCGGGAGGGACAGCTAACTGCGACTGATGTGGTATCGGGCATCGCTTGGCATCGACTGGTACCTTGGGCGCCTTGAAGCAACGCTAAGTTTGTGTGCCAGGTACAGGCTCACAAGCGGTTGTAATTCATCTATACACACGACAGAGTAAGCACAAGGTGGTTACAATTTGATCAAGACAAAGAAAAGGGACAGGGGCCACTGACAGTTCACCCACCTTTAGATAAGTCCTCGTCTTCACCTAGTCCGTCCCCGTTGCTGCCCTTAGCCCGCTGAAAACAGAAGTGTCCGCCCTGTATTCAGCCAGGGCAGTACCAATAAACACACTACCGCGGCGTAAACACACCAGCGCCGGCCAACTCGCCACGGAAGTGTATCTGGTCATACATCGTCGGATGCTGGGCGCAGCCCTGCGCCGAGTCCGGGACACTGAGGTCAGGCCAACAGGGGCCCACACATTGAGGCCACTGCCAATGGCCGACGACTGCAGCGGAAGAGAGCACCACTGGCACAGCACAACAGCTGCTTCGTTCAAAGACGAGCGTTCAGTCAGCTATTTTTCATTGCCCTGGGCCGCGGATGCGCAGAGCATTGGGTGCACGGATGCGCCGACGACAGGGGTACAGTAACAGTATGATTTTGGATAAGAGACACACGCAGAGGGCATGCCCTAGTGATAATCAAAATTATTCATCCCTATGCCTGAAGAAAGTCCCCATCACCCTGCCAAGATAAAGGGTTTAAAACACCTGCCGCATCGCGGTTGCTCTACATCACGAGCTGCTTTTGGAATTCAGGGCTCGCGAACAGTCTGTGTGCCACGTAACATTCAATGATCATTGAACTTCAGCCGCCTCACGTTCGTCCCGAACGGAGATGGATCACGAAGAAGTCAAAAGCGAATCTGGGAGGAGTAAGTTGGTGCTGGGACACCAACCTGACCAAAAGGGGTGCCCGTGGCGCAGTGGTTAATGCGTCTGCGTTAACCACTGGGCGTCAGGGAAACCAGAGGTACGGGGTTTGATTCCCCGAGGTGCCCTCCCTTCCTGCCAGGGTGAAAGGCAGGCGACGCCGTATAGCCTCAGCAACTGGGGCTATGTGGTGAAGCACCAGTGACAACACGACCTGACCACGGGATCATAAGTCGGGCTGCGGGTGGTGCGCAGACCTTGTAGCTGGTCAGAGGCCTGAGGCTAGCAGGAATGCGTTTCTATCTGGGAGAGTGACGCACTGGGCGTCCTGAACGAAAACGCTAACCTGAGACAAACGACAGGCTTGCTCCATCGGGGACGACAACCCGTAGTCATATTCAAAACGTCGCTAGGGCCGTCGAACTCCGTGAAACTGGAACACAAAAGTGGAAACCGACCTTGCGGTCGCTGAGGCAGCGGAACAGCTCTGCCTCGTGCGAGGGCCGGCAGTGGCCTGAGCGGCGCAGGTCGGCGGCAGAAGCGGCGCGCTTGCACGTGGCGACGCAGCGAGGCACCAGCGCCTCCCGACAGCAGACTGCTCCGGACCAGGAAACGGCCGCTGAAACCGGAGCACCGTCAACAAACTGTAACCCGACCAACAAAGACCTTCTACCGCTGACTCGAAAGGGTCCACTGAGAAACCGGTGCCCGCTTTGAGAGCGATGGAAAGTGAAGCATGCAATTATGTGAATTTTCTGACCTCCTTCAATAGTGCAAAAAAGCCCCAAAATTAACATTCGGCGACTAGACGCCTCGAAGCACACGCCATTTAGTCAATCAAAGACAGGGTTTCCACATATGAAAGACCGGCCGCCAGCGCCTGGGTCGGCGTCTGTCATCGCCCGCCGGCGGCCAGCACAGGACAGCGGCCTGCCGCGCCGCCGCCGCGGCTGATGGCCGACGTCAGCAGGACGTGCCGCCGTGCTGACGACCGGGCGCCGACACTGATGGATGGCCGCTGCCGGGCGCGGCGCCCTCGCGCCGCGGGGCGCGTCGCTATCTGGTGCAAGGTCCCGCCGCGACGCGCCGCTAACCGCGCGACGTCGCCGCGCTGTCACCGTGGGGTGGCGTGAGTGTCGCCGGCGCACGACCGGCAGCTGGCTACTGATCAGTGATGGCGGCAGCGGCGAGGCTAGCCGGGTGGACTCGCGCTCCACCTGATTCAGATTTACAGCAGAATCAATGGACACCAGAAGTCTCGGTCATCAACTTGATTCGGATCCGTGTGTTTCTACCGTATTCATCATCGGAGCCAATTCGAAACTTGTTACCAGCTAAACCACACTGACTCAACTTGAATCAGCATCAAGTCACAGGCCTTTGCATCCCGTCCGATACGAATCATGTCGGTTAAATCTTGGTACAGACACAGTTTGAATACGCGTAATGCTCAGAATCAGTCATGAGAATCTGCTTCAGTTATCTCATAGATATCCTGGTGGATTTCAACCTTCCAAAGCGGTCATATCACGCGATGTCATCCACCGATCACATAAGCCATCTGAACCTTCTGAACTATAGCAGCTCATGACCAAACGTCAACGTTGTGAACTGGAACAAACCTCTGCAATAGTTTGAGTTATGTTAGAACTTACTTCGTCAGCCACGGGATTATTTTCCCATACAAAACTCATCAGGGGTCTTTTTCGCTCAGCCTGTTCCTTGGCCACCAATCAACGGATCGCACCGGCACCAGTGGCGTAGCTAGGTGGAGGGACCATAATGGGCGTCTGATACTTCTGAATGAGACGCACATATGTCTAAGGACCAAAATGCTCCGTCTTCCCAAAGCGTTTCAAAAGGATGAAAGTGTCAAAAGTGGTAAAAGAAGGGCCTTTGAGCCTCCAAGGCGCCAGAAGTCTCCTGGTTGGTCAATGAATGGCAATCCTTGTCACCAGGTGACCCATCGCACTCCTTCGAATTGTGTCGAAGAGGACAATCAAAGGAACCTCTCGGATCTTAAACACGCGCCCGGATGGCCAGCTGGTAACCTTTCGCTCGGGCGGGGGGGGGGTCAATTTGACCCCCTGAGATCTCAGGAACTAAGAGAGTTAGAGACACCGAATTCACGGGGTGTGTTGGCCTGTACGTAAAGTCACTTAGATCAAATTGTAAGGTTCCTAAGCCATGACCTTCGGGTCAAATAGGGTGAAACAGGGTCAATCTCCAGTTTGGTGTCCAAAGTTCCCCAAGAAGCTTAATATTTTTTTCTAAGCAAAAGACCACATGATCATTTGAGGTTAGTGACCCTGTCCCACTTTTCAAAGGTCATGGCGACCAAAATCCTACAAGATTGCTTTGGGTTTTGCGTTTGAATAAGGGACAAAGATTACGCTAGGCAGCATGTTCCAGAAAACAAAGCTTTGACCTGGGTCATTTTAGGTCAGTGACCTATTCCGATCTTTGAGAAATGTATGGAGGATGTATAATGCAGTTTCTGTTATCAACAAATTCAAAATGAACATCAAAGACTTCCCAATACAGCAAGCCCTGGAGTAATAAAACAGACTGACTTTGACCTTCGTCTGACCTTCAGAAATAACCTTAGGCCAACGGAACTTGTTAATTCGATTGCTGCGCTGCCTAAGAAAGTATCTCAAAGATGTATGATCTCGTCTAACACTCCGCTGTTGCACCAGATTAAACGATTTCCATGGCCTGACTTGGACCAGCCGTAGGTCAGTGACCTTACAAGGTACAGCTAAATTTTTAGTATCAAACGATCCGCTATTCAATTGTCTACAACTGTACAAAATATGACGTGGCGCGGCCGCGTCATTCAGAAACCATTTTGGAAACATCTTCGGTAGGGTCAATTTGACTCCCGGATTGCGTGTTAAGTTGCCCTTTTCAAGGCAGCCATTGGCTCTTCAGAGCTTTCTAACCAAAATGGAGCGAGGCTCACAGAGACTTGGATCATCAGAACGCCTCCTGTTCGCTTGTTTCAAGGCGCCTTCAAGGCTGCAAACTTCTGTTTTAGAAGCCGTTAAAGGGGACGTCTGTTGCCTCTCAGTTTCCCTGTCTCAGAGGCCACCTATATTTTTAGGGCACCTGCGAAAGAGATCTATTGAACGTGCATGTGTCCTATCAGGGGGCTCTTGAACTTTTATGACTCCATGTCAAAGCTATTCTCCTTGGACTTACGAACACCGCCGCCAAATGGTCTCTTTGAGCTCTAGGGGACTCCTGGGGAGGGGGCACCTTGAACTTATAGGGTATCCTGTAAAAATGTCACTACCGAGTTTGTCGGAATACCCCGCCTAATGAGGCCCTTAAGCCTTCATGGCTGCTGGCTGCCATTTTGTTAGGACCTATGCATTCTAATTACTGTCTTGTAATGTTTATTCAGAGCATCTTAGCCTCCAAAGAACTTTCAAAATTGGATCTTGACCGACGGAACCCTTAGGTCATCAATAGCTCCGAATATACATCTGCCAAAGAAATCCCTGGCCTTTTTAATTTCCTGAAAACTAGACGGTCTGTGGAGAGGGTCTTTTTAATTTTGTTTGCACCGCATTGTTCATTTTTTTCGGTGTCCACTAATGAGCAATTACAACCAATAATTCACCAAGTAGCTGCCCGTTGATAAAGGTTTCTACCACCCAAAAAAGGCTACCCACTCCATTCCAAAAGCTCCTACTACCACCCACTGTAAAAGATCGCGTCGAACTGCTTAACAGTGTAAAAGCGATACCGCCGAACCTAATGGGAAATGGAATGGAACGAAAACTACCTCAAACGGCTGCTCTCAATCGTTTTCGAAGACGGCATGGCAATCCAAAACTTTCAAGAACGCCTGTGTGCCTATGATCCCGGAGATAATGCTGACAAGACGGCCGGGTTCTTATTTGCGTTCGGTTTAGTCGATTCACCAGTTATTCCAGCTAATACGATTTCAAAATTACCTCTACTAACTACTGGACAGGCAGACGTGGCTTTCCCTGCCCGTTTTAATTCAGCTAGTCGCGTATACCGAACGCAGGCTTCAATGAACAGGGTCGCAGCTACGCTGGGTCTCCATCAACCGATGTATTTTTGTTGTTTTTTTTAGCTCGCCACCCGAGTCAGGTAGAAAATGGGACTTCCCACGGATAATAGCAAGACGAGTCAAATTTGTCAGGGATGGTTTTCTGACGTCAGGCTTCTTAACGTTCCAAAAAGGTGCATTTCACGTTCCATCCTAGGCCAAATGCAAATCTTGTAATCGGTTTCAACACAACACGAAGTCAAACGCAAACTTCTGCGCAACAGCAGGCATTCCGATGCAGTATGGACGATGGCTTCTTAGCCCTGTATCTGCATAAGTCTGCACACACTAGCGAACAACAGTTGGAAAAAGTCACATAACTTCGGCAGCACATTTCTGAAAAGCGGAAATCAAACTTACATACGTTTCGAGGAAATATGCAATGCATATGACATCCAAGTGGTTCCACAATATTTTGGTTGCCGTTGAGTTTGTTATCGCGCGCGAATCGAGCTGTCATTTGCTTTTAAATGTTCGTTGCTTGGTGGCTGCAAAACGTGCCCAATATTTGCATTGCCTTTCTGTGGTGGCTGACGTTATGCTTATTTGAAGCTATGCTGGTTTCGATCAGTCACAAATTCCGTGCAGAACTACCTCGGAGATAGGTTGGCAGAGGGTGATTTCATCATCTTACCTCCCGCTCACTGCCACGAACCTGTTAAAGGTGAGGTCCTCCTGTTTCTTACCAGGGCCCCTGATGTCATCGGCGCCACTCTGAAGACATTTTGCTTTTCTCCTTGCCGCTTGTCCTGGAGCTAGTCATGGCTGCGAGCTTGTTGATTCCAAGGACAATCCATGGCCACGACGTTTTTACGAGGACGAAGATGTGGTGACCACCAAATCATACCCCACCTGAGCTGACCACAAAACTGTCTTATAATGCCTACCGATTCCAAATAGTCATGCCACGTCTCGCGGTCAAATTGCCGTTTAGCTCGTAATGTGATGTGATGGATGTTTGTAAGTCAACTTTTTGTACGTCGCTCGAAAATTGACCCTAAATGGCGCGTGCATAACAGAAACTAAACTGATATATCTTGAAACTAGCATAGCAACATACATCCGTGCATGCACATCCCCATCAGTGACTTAGATGGTCGAGCTGAGCTAAAGTGGTAACAACCGGACTTTTGTTTCCCTGACCTAAAGTGGTAGCAACCGGACTTTTGTTTCCCTGACCTAAAGTGGTAACAACCGGACTTTTGTTTCCCTGACCTAAAGTGGTAACAACCGGACTTTTGTTTCCCTGATCTAAAGTGGTAACACCCGGACTTTTGTTTCCCTGACCTAAAGTGGTAACAACCGGACTTTTGTTTCCCTGACTGTGTTTACACTGACCCCCGCGCACATTATGATTTTATGGTAAAGCACGACAGCTATGTAAAACAGCGCGTGGTAACAGCACCACCACCGGTCACATTTATGGCGTCACTATGACATAACTTCGGCTGAACTTAAGCCCCAGTTTGAAAAGAAGTCACGAGAGGTTTTTATTTAAAGGTTCTGAAAGCTCCAGGTTACTGCTCCCGTTC